CTTATTCTTGTCCTTACATGTCTTACCACATCGCAATACCTCTCTTTTCTTTTTCTGGCGATGAGGTCTGCCACTCTATTTAGAAACCGCTTACATTCTTTGGACATGCCTCCAGTTGTGAGAAATACGGCTGGGGTGAAAGTGGCCTTCTCTACGTTCAACACTCTCTCCAAGTACTCATCCTCCTTCTCCTTTTCGTTCTCTTCATATACTTCTTGGAAGAGTTTTGGTCCTGTTTGATAAGCAATTGGGGTGTGAAACCCTTATGTCAAGAAAGGTCTTATCAAATGGAGTCCAAACTCCTCTAGCAGATACGTCAAGCCGAGCTTGGTCACCTGTTATAGTCTTGGGGTTGAGGCAGTCACCCTCATTTACCTTCTGTAGCTGGGGTTCGACTTTCACATCATGACATACCTCACGAAGGAGATTTGCTAATGTGTCTCTGATGTTGTTGTGGGTCATTATCACATAACCCCCTAGCTTAGAGGTGAGAAGGTGGTCAAGATCACTTGTTTTCCCACATCCACAGGTGATGGGAGTGTTTGGTATCCACCAGCTGTAGCGTAAGCAGACACTGTCTCGAAACTCCTCTTTGTTCAGAGTGTAGCCATACTGCTGAAGTGGCAATGTGTTAAGCCAACTGGACGCTCCCTTTTCTCTTGCTGCTAGTAGTGCTCTCTTAGAGGAGGTGCCACATCTTTCAGCTATAGCGTTAAACTTGGCTTGGAGCTCGGAATTCTTCAAATTTTTTATCATTTCTTTCCCTGATTTGGTGAGGTTACTGGATGCAGTGTAAATTTCCTGTTGATCAACTATTGCCTTTGTAAGCTCGGTGGTGAGTAGCTTGGAAGCTGTGTACTCAGACTGGCATTCCTCGTGGGTTTACCAATGCCCAATCCTCCCAATCTTATTGGTAGACTTAACACGTCCCTCTCTAAGTCTGAAATCTCCCTGCCCAGCATCTTTGGCAGAAGCTTTAGTCTTATTTCATGTTCTAGCGGCTCCATGGCTTCAGAGATATGAGGAACAGTCCTTTGAACAAACTTCCATCGGTGTTGTATGCCAGAGATGTAGGCTGAATAGGCTGCTTGAGGCTCAGATTCTGCAATATCAGCTAGCATCTTGATGTCTTCGCACCACCCTTGGACCTTATCGGCAATGTACTGATCTTTGACACCTGTATTGCCAAGTACTGCACCAAGATGCCTTGTGCCTGATGTTATTTGCATATTGAACTCTCCAAACAATGCCTTGGCCTGGTCGATCATCTGAGGGTCCTTCACTACTAGAATGCTTTTAGATGGGTTAGGAAAATAACCATTGATTGAAATAAATTTTCGTGCACATACAGAATGAATGGTTAATAATTTAATATATATGTAGAGGCCCCGTGACACCCTGGACATTGCGCTTTGGCGCAAAAAAGATGCCTGCTTAAGCTCAAAAGATGCATAGGTCCAACTTGGAGCAACTCCTTCCACCACTTATACACTGCCTCCAATTTCCCTCCAGCAGCACTATCATCGGCAAACCACACCTGTTTGATGATGTTTCTCAGGCGGTCGATAAGTGGCTTGGTGCTAAGAGCATATCCACCAGTGGCAATATTGTCTCCTTGAGTGAAACCTTCGCAGCTCTTGATGATCACTCCCTTGCTGTTTGCCACATAAAGGTCTGTTGGTTCTCTGTAGGTGTTCTCAAAATATTTAGCAAGTGGTGGGCAAACATACTGCATGTTGTTGGTAGCAGCAGTCCTATTGAGAGCGTTGAATGCGTTGGAAGCATCCACTAACAAAATGGCTTCCGTGTCCTCATCATCGTGCACCTCTGCCATAGCATGTATTGCTGCCTCGATCCCCCCTTCATGGCCTGCACATGTTTGAAGTGATCCAGCATTCTTCTGAACATCTTTTTTTAATACCATCATCACACACTTCCCAATAATCCGTCTCAGGATCTCACCAATACCAATTGGTCTTAGGCCTGGACATTTATCTAAGGGGACAAGCCTACCAGCTGTGAGCACTGCTATTGATTTGAAATCTACATCTTCAGTACATACACGCCTGGCTAATCTGGCAATTGCTTCAGCGACAAGCTCTTGGGATTTACTAAATGCACTACAACACAGGATGTGCTGCCAGCACTCTGAATCTACTAGCGTTGGTCCACCTGATCCTGATGTCAGCTTAGCAGCCTTTTTCACTAACATTGAATCGATGGCTTCAAAGATAACTTCTTCGACTGCCACTTTGTTACCTGTGATCAAAATTTCATCTGCTGCATTCATAGCAGAGGGATGCTTTTCCTTTAGCTGTCCAATAACCGTTTCATCAACATCCAACAGTCCACCACTTTGACGATTTATGAGACTGGTTGCTGCTGAGACTTTGCCATGGATCATGAGCTGTGCAAATTTGGTAGCAAGGGATCTCTCCTGGGCTTTACGTGTTTCTTCAAGTCGTTTCTGAATCTCACACCCTTCACTGATTATAGCGTTCAAGTCCCCAACTTTCCACAACTTGAGCCTTTTATCAAGATAGATGTTGTGATCCTTTTCACGAGAGTTTTTAGATGGTTTTTGCAGCATCATAGGAATGAAGATAAATAGTAGTCTCAACGCTATACTCTCCCATTCTGTCTTGTCATTAAACAGGTTGAGTAATCTGCTTACTTCAAAAATGAAGGCGTTGCCCACTTTGCCCCGTGGCACTAGGAACATGTTCTTGGTCCATTTCATAATTTCACTGTAGGCTAAATCAGCAGCATTGGATATCTCACTTAAAGAAGCATAATTACCCCATTTAACTTCTTTAACTAGCTTAGCCGGTTTCTTCTCTAAGGCCTTACAATTCTTACATACCCACATTACTTCTGAGTGTTGCCCAAGTTTTTCAAAAGTTTTTTTGTGCATACAACACTTAGTATGATACCATTTTTCACAGGGACCATCACACTTAACGCATTCGAAGCCGGTGACATCATGAGAGCATTTACCACATGGATACACAACAGAAGGGGCATCAGGGTTGCTTCCATTTCTGATTGGAGCCTCAACTGGGCTATGATTGTTAGAAGTTCCTACTTCAACAGAATGATATGTTTCTACTACTTTTACTGAGTCTGCTACTTGGGATTGAGATTTATTTGACAAGGGTTTTTCTAATCTGACTTGACGTTTAATTGACAAAGGATTTTCTGATCTGACTTGAGTTTTAATTGATAAGGGTTTTTCTGGTCTGATTTGATGTCGAAGTCCGTACCTTGAAGAAGATGTGAATGGTTTCTTGTCATTAGGAAAATTGAGGAAGACATATTAGGAATTAGAAAGCCAAATTAGGTGACATATTAGGTGACATGAGTTCATTGGACATACCTCCATTGAATATACTAGTAACAAATTTAAGAACCAAAGCAAAATTACTTATTTGACATATTTAAAAAAAGTTTATCACACACAACATCTTGTCCTCACCACAAATATTACCACTTCTGAGTTCTGATATAATAATGTTTTGTTTGTATCTTGATCTTTGGCTATCTGTTTCATCTCCAAGACCAACCGCTGATCGATAGTTCGATCTTCAGGTGATCGATCTGGAGATATGAAAACAGTTTTATGATCTTCACACAGTCTCAGTTGTTTGGAATTATCTGATGATATGTATTATCTGATGAACGGTACTAGAATTACCTGGCGAAACTTTGACTGGTCTCGTCTTGTCGGCTGATTTCCTTCCAACCCGGATAGGCGGATAGCTTCAAACGTGGTTTTTCTTCAATCTGCTGAAAAATCACGTCAACTTTAAAGCACAGTTTTTCTTCATCAGTCTCCTTCAAACCAAAGATGAGTACGTTCCTACTGCGATCCTCTTCCGATACAGCATTCTGTACAACCTTTTTCAAACTATCTTCTGTAAGCACAGGTGCAGTTTTAGACACAGCTTGACTGTATGTCTATTGTCTTCATCTCAGCTTGGACAGTGTCTTGAACGGCGGTCTTGACGGTGGAGCGCACGGATTCCAACTGCTTATATTTATTTCCAGAAGTTCAGCCTGCAGCTTGATAACAATACTTTGCGATCGGATAAGACTCCTCCACACAGGAGGATCAAAGTTCAAAGAAACTGCTACTAACTGCTACTAACTGCTACTAACAACAAAAAAAAGAAAAAAAAGAAAAAAAAAGGGGGGACCCCCAACCCATGTAGCTGAGACACCTCACAGCAAGTAGACCAAAGTGGCTCTTGCTTGTGAAAGGTGCATCAACTACCCGCCGAAGCGGTGGGTTGGGAGTCCCCCCTGGGATCATTTCGTCCGTAAAATTATATACAACATAAAATAGTACAGTAAAATATCAAAATTTACATAAACAAATCTAGGAGACCTCAAAGTTCGTCTTCTGGGGAATGAGGTTGAAGGAGATGTCATGCAGTTCAAGATGCTGGGCCGTTGATCTTCCTCTGATTCCTCTTAGTGCAATGAGTGTACTTCTTAACAGATCAAATCTGAATCGTGTTCTGATATGATTTTTGACTTGGCTCTTGGCTTCTTTTTTATGGACAGCTATCATCTCAGAGACACGATCTACAAATACAGTGCATAGCGGTCCCATACCTCCAGAGGTTGTGAAGACGAGAGGGACAAAGGATCCTTTCTCTGACTGAAGTACTCTCTCTTCATACAAATCTTTCTTTTCTTTCTCGTGATCTTTATAGATCTTATCTAGCGTCTTAAATGTGTTTGTGTCACAGTTAGGATGTGTGACCCTAATGTCAAAGAACTGCTACTAACTGCCAGTAACTGCTACTAACTGCTGCAATCGCGCCCACGCATTTGCGCGCCGTTTGCAGCAGATAGTAGCAGTTAGTGGCAGTTGCCAGTTAGTGGCAGTTAGTAGCAGTTAGTAGCAGTTAGTAGCAGTTAGTTATTTGCAGACAGACGTGTAGCAAGATAATTAATTAATTATTTTTTGAATTAAATTTAACCTGTTCTAAATTCAGCAAAATTAGACCCATGAGTACCATGGCATTTCCACCCCAAAGACCTCCTCTACAGAGTGTTGGTCCAAGGGGTGAGATTACACAGAGCACAATTCAGAAGATGCTTGATGAAAATCATCAACTCATCATGACAATTGTCGACTATCAGAGCAAAGGTATGTTTAAGAGAGTTAAGAATAATCTAAATTATAGTTGTAAATTGATTCACCATGAGTTTTAACAATCTACAATTTTATCAAATTAACTACTATCATTTTACTACCATTTTTCACAGGTCAGTCTGAAGAGTGCTCAAAGTACCAAGGCATGCTACATCGCAATCTCGTTTATCTTGCAACAATAGCTGATTCAAACAACCAAGCTGTTCAAGGACAAGGGGGTTTGTCTATTCTCTATAAAAGTATAAATGTGATGACTGATGACTCATTTTAACTTTTAAAACCAATCAAAGTTTCAAGTTTTCACCAAACTTTTGGACAGATTTTTGACCAATCGTTTCACCAATTGCGATGAGCATACATCTAGGTTAATCAACCTTCGCTTCAGTTTGTATACTTTTTAATAGTAAAAGACATATCAGAACTTACTATACAATAAAATAAACCATCAATAAAGTGAACAATATCAAGGTGGCGGTATGGACTATGGACCTAGAGGCCCCCCACCCCCTCATCCAAACGAGCAGCCCAGCAGCACAGTGCCACATCACCCCAACCAATTCCACGAACAGTTCCGGCAGTTTGGTCCCCAGTACAGAGGTTATAGCCCACACTATCCTCCTGGCTACATGCCTTCTGGTGGCTTTAAAGGTTAACACATTTTACTTGTAGTGTCTTTCAAGGGTTTTCTAATTAATTTATATCAAGTTCTCATAATGAATAATCTTATATTTGTTTTTTTATTACATAAATTCCAGATACCTCTACTCCAATACTTACTTTGTACATGATACGTTATCGTTAACAACAATAAAAACCTCCACACTTAGAGCAGTTTGTCTTTGAGAAAAAAACGTACATTCCTTCAGCATTCCAATCACAACTTTCACCAGTATATTGATTATTAATATCACACCTTAATATCACACCAGGTGGTCCACCAGGACAGCCCTACCCTGCAGGACACCCACAGTTCTCTCAAGCGCCTCCACAAGTGCAGATGCAACTACAACAGCAAGCTCAAATCATGCAAATGAGGGTAAGAAAGGGCAAGTGAGGGCATGAATTTGTTATCACCATGAACAGAAAATATCCTCAGATTAGTGGTTTTATCACTAAACTACTGCTACAAATGACTAACTTGCCATATTAATTATAACAGCGTTATGACTTGTCTTCCAGTGCATCAAGGTAAATCAAACTCTCCTTTCAGCAACAAGCAATGTACAACCAGCAGAAGATGTACCCCGGAGGATACCCTGGAAGCGGTGGACAGCCAGGAGGTTACCCCCCTCAGTATAGACCTGGAGCTCCTCAACAATCTGGTTTGTTGATAATTTCAGTGAAAGATCTATATAGATCTAATACTTCTAATACTTCTAATGCCGAAAAAATAGTGTTGGAGTTAAAACTTACTTCATTGTTTGACTGCCCCCTGGCCTAAGGGTCTGTCTTAAGCATAGTAGTTATTTTGGCAGTATCCAAGTAGCCCAACACGTGTTCGCAAACAGGTGTTTTCGAACAGGGTTAGGGTTAAGGTTAGGGTTAGGGTAAGGGTTAGGCCCGGTTAGCTGGACAGTATGTGACACATCACGTGACACATCATGTGACACATCACGTGACGCATCATGTGATGCGTTAGATACCGTTTAGTAAGCCCCTCAGACCACATCACGTAATAAAATACGCGATGCAATGTATTATCCTTAGAAGTCGGTAGGAAACACGTTACGGTATGACGTCATGCTACTTTCTGGAAGAAATTTGGTTAATAAAAAAATCCTGGAGGGGGATTATTTAAAACATATAAGTGATACGAAAAGATAATAATAATCATAATAATTCACCTCTGAAACATTTTGATCATTTTAATCATTCTTTTAATTCGAAATTGTGTGCTTCTTCCGGTCCTGGACCGGAGAAACTATTTAAAATTAAAGATTAGAATCAAAACGATGGATCAAGAATAATAATAAATTTAAATTTAATAATACTGCTTTTAAGATAAAACTTATACTCAGCAGTGTTTAAACTATTCATCCCACAAAATAACATGAATACTAAGGAAAGAAAAGTAACTCATGCTTGAAAATATAATAAATCGTCAATACTTAGTATTGAATACTACTGCCAGAAATTGTAATGATATATTATGTAAAGATAGAATAAAGGAATGTTGATTTGGAAACATATTCATGAGGTGTTTTTAGAGCTGGAGGGGAGGGAGAGTTGTTATCGTCATCATGGGTGTTTCCAAAGCTCATCTTGTTTCATTGAGAAAAATATGATAGAAACATGATTACTGTAATGTGTTTCCTACCGATCATTCAGAACAAACACTGCGTCACAAAACTCATCGGCCATCACGTGGCCTGGTGCCATTAAATTAGGAAAAATACTACAAAAGATCATAAATAGTCTAACGCGTCACGTGCTATCTAGCTATGGTCTAAACCCTCCGTATTCAGGAGGACCGAGCCAATATCCCCCGGGTTATTACCCTAGTGGGGCACCGCCCCCTGGTTCACACCACACCAACATGCCACCCTCCTCTCAACCAATGGGACCCCCTCAAAATTCCAGTCCTCAGACTAGCCAAGCTCCCCCAACCCCTAGCTCTGGTCCTACTCCGAACAATCCTGGTAATTTCGGCTGCCTTTGAGCTGATAAATAGATGACTCCTTTCAGTTGATAATTGCTATTTCAATTTTCTCAAAATTATTCGAACCTTGTCCTTCGAATTAAGCCATTTACATCTACCACATTCGGCAAAACCGATAAGCTACTTTTTCTGCCGGAATTATACTTTTTTTTGCTGGTTTCATAGAACTTTTTCATCGGACGATATCTCTAAATTCTTTTAACAATTACATTAACTAGTTAATTACCCAATTATTCGGTAGGTACACCACAGCAACCTCCCCAACAACCCGGGACTCCTAACTCTAATTCCCCCGGACAAAACCAGCAGCCTCCAAACAGTGGCCCAGGTTAGTAAGATTAAAGATATGTTGTTTATTTTAATCAAAATAATTTAACTAAACATGTCTAAATTATGAATCATTGCAACGTGCTACAATGTTGATCCGTTGTATAATGTTGAGATTCTATTGGCTTTTAAGTTAATTTAGTTATTTAAAGAAACACGCAGATCAGTAGTCTTCAGACTAAATACGTGAATCATTGGTGTAGGTTATCCAATATTTAGTTGTATCGTGACGTTGTATTTGTTTTTAAACGTCACATCAAATAGAATGGTTTTGACGGTAAAGCCATGCTCTCTAGACTTACTTCTTTTACTCCTTAAACTTGCTCCTTAGACTTACTTCTTAGACTTATTCCCTAGACTTGCTCCTTAGACTTACCTCTTACCAGGTCCAATGCCTCCTAACGTTAGCCACCCGTCCATGCCAGGAGGACCACACCCCGCAATGACACAGGGAGCTCCACACCCCCCTCACTCACAAAGTGGACCGCCTCCCCAGCAAGCTCCCGGACAAGGTGCACCTCCTCCCCACTCTCAGGTTCCTCATACTCCTAACATGCACCACCCTGGAATGCAGCCTGGTATGTTGTTTGATATTTAGTTCTATTACTGGACCATTATATTATTAATTTCCCATATAATTCGATCTGTTAACAGCTGTAAAGGTTTTATTAGAGTGGGATTTAAACTTTTAAGCCATCAGTTGAAAGCAAGTAATCACACAAGTCACAACCAGCTATGTTCTAATCGTTATATAATAAATATTTGTTATATAAAAAAGTTTCAAATCAGATCAAATCAGCTTCCTCGTGTGATTCTAAATTTCACTCCAACCAAATTATGATCAACATGATTGATCATAATTATTATGATCAACATGATTGATCATAATGGATACTTAATATTTATCATAATAATCCATTTCCCAATACCCACTTATATACCCTAACAATCATAGGTCAGCACCCCAGCATCCCCACGAGCATGTCCGCTCTACCAGGACAACAACAACCTGCTCCTAACATCTCCATGGGTAACATGCCCCCCGGGGGACCAGGAATGCCCTCTAATCATCCCGGTATGCCTCCTGCTGGCATGCCTCCCATGACTCAGCAACAGTGGGCAATGCAGCAACAGGCTATGCAAGCTCAGGCTATGAGGAACATGCGACCTAAAGGACCGCAAGGGATGCCACCACAAGGAATGCCGCCACAAGGCATGCCACCACAAGGCAATATGCAACATCCCTCACAAGGCATGCAGAGTCCGATGAATGGGATGGGTTCGCCTCATACTGCTCACCCCACGGCTGGTGCCCCCAATACAACAGGTTCAGTGGTGTAAACTTATTAACTTCTATAATGTATGTACTTATACTCATTTTATTCAGGAGAAGTACTGACTGTTGGTGACTGACGGACTTGTAAACATTACTGACTGACACGATTGTGGTTTACAAAATGAGAAAGGTAGTCGATCCACAGTCTGGATATCAAGTTGATAACTTGAACTTTTATCATTTCAACATGACCGACAAGAAACCAGAAAAAACAAACAAATTTTGAACAAAACAGTTAATTTCGTCTTCAAAAGACGCGATGCTCTTAGCAACATCGATATGTCGTAACTGATCATAAGATCTTTAAAAAATACTTATCCGCATTCGCAAGTCACCGAACAATGTACTACTAATCAATTTAAATGTTCTACCTAATTCCTAAATTTCCCTATAATCCTTTCAGTGCCGATGCAACCCCCTGGATCAATCATGTCCGGTCCTACCTTGTCTGCAGCGGAGCCGATGGTCGAAATAAAACAGGAGAACCTTAAATTACCGTCAGAGCTTGGTTCTGGAATTGACAATGAAGACAATTCATAGTTCTTAAATTTATCATGCAATATTCATGTTTAATTAAAATGGATCTCCAATATTTCTGTATCTTTTCGCTGCTTTATCCACGGCGGGACTGATTTATTTATTTTATTGAGTTTTTCAAAGGCTTAACAGATTTTAGATTTAACGCCTGGTTCAACTTTTTTCCAGACATTTTTCTAACTCGACAGCTTTTGAAACTAGAGTCCAAAAAGATCGCTCAGTGATTGTTATATTATTTTCAAGCCTTTTCCAACCTGGCTTGAGTTTTTCAAATTATAAATGGAACTTTAAGAAAACATTTGCTGCACGTTTGGAAGATAAATAATACATAGAATCACAACGCTTGCTGTATTTGAAAGCTGAAATTTTATTTCATGAGCCTAAAAGTTTGATGAAAATCTACGATCACTGACATGCTTCTATAAAATTTGCCACCTATTTTGTCCTGGAATGTTCAGTCGATTTTTTAAATTATTTAAGTTCATTACTTAAGATATGCTGAACAGTTTCCACCTGCCTTTTCAAATTATTTCATTTTTAATTGAATACATTTTCAGAATGTCGTTATCATTTAAAAACAAAACACTCAATATTCATCTGATTTGACGTTCAAAGTTTCCTAAACTCCGAAAAGCTTTAAATCTTGATTCAAGTATATGACACCACAATATATACTCTGGTACATTAAAGATATAAAGAATTTCGGAAGCTTTGTAAAAACAAACATGTTATTATAATGATAATCATATTTACACCTAGATGCAATTTATTCTTATTTTAAGATATAAAATAGTTTTATTACTTACTTACTTTACGTAATGAAGATTGTGATTGAATCGAGTAATATGACAGCCATGATAATTTCCATACCAAATTCCGGTCACCCCATGATCATGATTTGAAACTAAAATCGAACTGATTCATTTTCGACTATCTGTGTAGTGTGTTGTACTCTCACATTGATTATAATATAATAATATCAAATAAAAGTAAACTAAATAAAGAATCCTAAACTCCCTAAACTCTAAATGTTATCGCTGTAGGTAGCATGGTGTTAGCTGACTTGGGAGGCGTATTACCAAAGCTCTACACACTCTTAGTAACGCAACTGTTATCAATGAAGATGTAAGTTGTTTTTCTGCCTGTATATTTACACGAAATGTACATGGATATGATCTCAATCGATCGATGTTTTAGTAAAGCTTTTGAGATCTTTTTGTTTCTTTTTTATTGTGTGATGAATTTTCAGTTAGGCATTGGATCAATATTGCCCGTTCAGCACCAAGCTTTTTACAATAATAGATTAATTCAGAAAATTTACTCTTTTTATTAACAAATTATTTTTGACCAGGTTCTCTCGGCACTCCTGAAAGAGATATGCGGGGCTCTCTTGGAGTCAGATGTGAACGTTCAGCTGGTTAAGCGACTCAGGGACAATGTCAAGTATATAAGCATCTGAAGAATTTGTTTATCCTTTTAAATATTTGTGCTGAACAGTCAGCTATTTGGCTAGTGTTTGTTTGACAAACTTCAAACATCTTATTAAACACTTTTATCACTGTTAAAGCAAAGATTTCTGAAATTGTTAATACTTGAGATTAGGAACGATTTTATATCCTAGGTCTGTCATAGATTTCGAAGAGATGGCAGGAGGACTGAACAAGCGTGTCATAATTAAACGGGCAGTGTTCACCGAGCTGTGTAAACTCGTGGATCCAGGTGTGAAACCCTGGAATCCTGTAAAGGGTAAACAGAATATCATTATGTTCGTTGGGTTGCAGGGGTCTGGTAAAACAACTACTTGTACCAAAGTAAGTTCTTTAAGAGGGAGTTGGTTTATTAAAATTCATAAAGTTTATTCAATCTTTACATTCACTATTCTGTTAAAATTAAATATAAGCCAACTTAACAATATATATTCAATTCTATTCCGACAGTTTTCGAGAAGAATTTTGGTTATAAGTGTTTCAACGAAAGTCTGCCTACATGATATATTTATATATTACATTATATTCTATATTAAATTGTTACTGAACAGATAATTTACTATCTACTTATCTACAGTTGGCTTATCATTACCAAAGAAGAGGTTGGAAAGTGTCGTTAGTGTGTGCGGACACATTTCGAGCTGGCGCGTTCGACCAAGTCAAACAGAATTGTGTCAAAGCAAGAATACCTTTTTATGGAAGGTAAGATCGATAGTTACCCTGAAACTCTGAAATATTTCCTTGATTTTTTAAACAAATTCTTAGAACCACGTTTTTAATCTTTTTTAAGTGATGTTATTTGTTAACAGATGACCCTTAACACAACAATTTCAGTTATACAGAATCAGATCCTGTTGTTATAGCGCAAGATGGAGTCGAGAAATTTAAAGCTGAGAATTTCGATATCATCATAATCGACACCAGTGGAAGACATAAACAAGAAGACAGCTTGTTTGAGGAGATGTTGCAGCTACAAAATGCCACGGTAAACATTGTTGTCTTTGGCCACTGCCCCAAATGTCGTGAGGAGGTGTTCTAGCAAATGTGTGGGCGAAATTGCGATTATGTCGCTTTATGTCGCGCGAGGTTTATTTCTCAGAATTGTGGGTATGTCGCTTTTATTCGGATCCATAAATAACGAAAAGTTACTTGCGTGCGCGTATTTTTATATAGTTCTATAGACTTACTATATAGTAAATCTGCTGAGCCCCTCGTAGCACAGTGGCTAAGGCCGATCGAGTTAACTAGCTCATCCCTGTTCGAGCCTCGTCAGAGGTAATTTTTTTGGCATTTATTGATTACTTTACTACAATTATCAGCAGAGCACCTTAGTAATACACTTTATCAGATAAATTATAGTGTTCGGACTTCAGCTAGAGAAGACTTGCCTTCAAGGTTTTGTCCGGGGAAGGCCTCGTTCACACTGGAATTTGTCAAATGGTAAACGGAGTTATCTGTTAATGTTTTTTTGTTTATGGTTAGAATTTAGAATGGAATCAATGTGATGAGGATCCAGAGTTAATTACCTGCTAGGATTAATAAGTCAGTTCTACAGTTGAAGAGATTTTTTTTTCAACCTTTAAATGAAGAAATCGGCTCGGAACTTTATTCCTAGATTCATCACTTTCAGTTAGTAACTACGGTGTTCCATGGAACCAGTTTAAGCAGCGGATCAATTCAAAACATTCACGTCCCACATTCTTAAATCTACATCCTTCACCAAAACCAGTTTGACCACTTAACTTTCCATTGTCACCTACCTATGTCACCTATGTTGAGATTCGTTAAGCTTTAACAGGGCCATCACATTGTGTGACCACCCCACAGAGAGGAGATCTCTCTGTCATTCCTCCAGCAAAGCAGCGAGTTTGAGTTCTGAGGAGTGTAGCCCCTGAAGCAGATGGGCGGTGTATCCGGAAGAGATAGCAGGAACTGGGTGATAGCATGAACTGGGTGAGCATGAACTGGGTGAGCTGCTAATTTCAATATGAGAGGCGAGAGCCTGTAGCCAGGAACAGTACCTTGAGGTTTCGACCGTAACCGGACCATTTTTACCGTTACCGGACCATATCATCTTCATCTTGTGGCATGGTTCCTAAGCATGATAGTAATACATATGCACTATGGCAGTATCTAGTATATCCTGAGCGGTGGAGATCTATCATTGTATTGGTGAAACTTCTCTCAATAAAGCACTGTTCGTTACCTGTTTATTAAAGGTATTTCCAATCAATATCATGGGTGAAAATTCCAGCCTATATCTATTTTGCAGGAACCATAAACAATAATCAATATGCATACAATACAAGGCCTTCTCCAGGTAGTCTTCTCCTGACAGTATTATTTATGTAAACTCGCGCACGACCTACCTTTTTGCGCATAACCATAGTTTTGAAAAGCGACATACCCACACTTTGAGAAGAAAAACATCTACTGAATGTCGTAATCAAACTCACATATCTGTATGGGACGACGACATTTTTGTATTAAAAACAATCTTAAGAGCATTTAGCGCACGAGTTATCCCGCCCGCGCGGGCTGCGCGCGTCTGGCCCACATTATGCGCGCAGCCTAAATATAAGTGTCGTGTCTGAAATCTGTTGATGCGATCTCGGATGAACCTGAGTAAATCGACCTATCGTTCACTGAATTACATGTGGGAGGTGACATGATAGCAGACAGCACATTCCTTATATTGCCTTAAGACTAAACCCAAGAAACTAGAATGAGAAACCTAACGAGCGATGTTTCTTTCAAGATAGAAATTCCGATCGATCTACAGCAGGGTGTCATAATTATTGGCGCGTAGACAATTTTGCCTAAAATTTTAGCTTACCCAAGCTTTTAGAAACGATCATTACTTGACTTCTGAGGGTAAGTTTCTTATGGAGTCTCGATCATTCGAGAGATAATCCTTTATACTACAGTTCAGTTTAAAAACGAAGTCCGAAAGAAGTTAAATTTCGTCGATAATCACGACGAAAGAGAAAATTTGGATTATTGGACTTGAAGCCTTCGGCTGCTTTCCCTGAATTCCGGGATGAGTCCGCCTAACTATATTTTATTGCGTCAGTTAGAGGAGAAAGAGAGCTTTTATAAAATCTATAGTTTTCTGTATGTTTCGCTATCGCCTGAAAAGCTGTGCACTTCAGTCAATAATTCTGACACCCTGCTGTATGAGGTTCTCAGAATTTAGAATGAAAAATTCAAGATCGAACTGCATCAGTGCTTACCATACTTAGCCGTTAAATATGCTTCAAGTAATGTTACTAAAGTCAATCGATAAATTTATACCAACAGCGGTCTTTAAAGACAACAATCATCCTGAAAATATAGATCATTTTATTCATTTATGAGCCTTCAAGCCTTGTTTCTTTGAGTGAACAAAATCGCATATTAACGCAATATCAAACAAACAAAAAACTTTGGTCCGATTTAATCATCGAGTTGCTAATGAAAATCACCTTACTCATTACTGCAGCAGCCGTAAATTCAGTTTATTTTGAATTGAACATGTTCAGATAACCTTTATATCGATTATCCTAGGGTGGAACATAAATGCTAATTGCTAATTGCTAAGCGTTTTGGGACTCAGTCTTTAAATGTTATTTGAAAAATTTTCTTGTTAACAACGGAAGAAATACTTATCGAATTAACGGCTTTGAATTGTAAGCATTGTTACCTATTACTTAGGACTCAGGACTGAAACTTTGACTTTATCGTCATAGATTAAACAATTTTCTTGGAAAAATCTCTGGTGTAAACGTGACGCTTATCGGATTCCAAGATTAAATTAAAGTCAGGAAAACCTTCAAATGTAGTGGAATAGGCGTGAATTTTAAAATGAAAATTCTCTCGAAGCTAGATAATATGCAAAACCCAACACATAGATAAGGTGGAAAGATCTGGAACTGTGAAGAATAAATGATATCGAAGCGTGAATCGAGGAGATATGTAGGATTCCGTCAATCTGAAAAAGAGAGGAAGCTACAGACTCACCAATGCCTTTGACGTTACCACAGACAGGATCAAATCCGCCCCTGCCCATCATGCCCTGACTACTGGACACTCCATTTCCTGGAACAACATAGAAGTCCTCAAATCCCTCACATCACGCTCCCAACTTGAACTGACAGAACACGCCACTATACAGATACGACAACCTTCCATTAATAGAACTGACCGTGCCCCTAAATGTAGCTCACTCTGGGACCCCATCCTTCCTAAGACTGCTTCATCCCTTAAAGTTAAGTAGAGTCCATCCGGCATTTCCATTGTATTAAGGCAAGAGTGTAAGATAATTCGTTGTTAAACAAACCTCTCTAAAGTGAGTTAATCTCCTATCTCATACTGCTAAGCGAGTGAAATATTAGTGTCTACAAATCTTTACAATTTCATATCCTTTAGAGAATGTTCTTGTCTCCGATCAATATATTTTCATACATTAGTGGGAGTGAATACAAATTTTACAGTCTAAGTTTGCTCAATGACATAATTCGTCGGGCTAAACTTATCGAACTTCTGAAGTAAATTAAACTGCTTTGAAGATAAAGTTTTGTGAAACTGCAAAATCGATTCAGTGAAAAATCCCAATATTTAGTAAATACACAGGACACACATAATAATTTTGAGGGGGTCTGTAGTCCCCCGCATAGTATGTTTGTGTTTCACTGATTTTTAAACTGAAGATGTAAATACTGTATATTAACACTTCTTTACGTTACGTATTTTTCAGGAACCAGATCAAATTATCTTCGTGATGGATGCCAGTATTGGGCAGGCTTGTGAACTTCAAGCGCGGGCCTTCAAGGAGACTGTGGATATTGGAGCTGTGATAGTCACCAAACTGGACGGTCACGCTAAGGGTGGTGGAGCCCTGTCAGCCATCGCCGTCACCAAATCACCTATCATTTTCATCGGAACTGGCGAGCACATTGACGACTTGGAGGCGTTCAAGACTCGGCCCTTCATCAGTAAACTGCTAGGAATGGGAGATATAGAGGGGCTCATCGACAAAGTTAACGAACTGAAGCTAGAGGACAGCGAGGAACTTATAGGGAAACTAAAACAGGGACAGTTCACGTTGAGAGACATGTACGAACAACTTCAGAACATCCAGAAAATGGGACCATTTAATCAGATCATTGGCATGTTGCCAGGATTTGGCCAGGATTTCCTTCCCAAAGGATCAGAAGGGGAATCGTCGGCCAAGTTGAAAAGGATGATGACCATTATGGACAGTATGAACGACAACGAGCTCGATCATTTGCAGGGACAGAAGCTGTTTTCGAAGGAGCACAGTAGAATTAACAGAGTGGCTAGAGGGAGTGGGGTTTCTAGAGGAGAGGTAATCTAATATTCTATAATTGACTAATTGCTTAGGTGATTGATTTGATCTTAGTTTATAACTTATAAGAATCAAAATGACTATAAATTATCTAACCACTGCACTGATGTAAAGCCCTTATTTTTAATTATTGAATAGAATCAATAAGAATCAAATTATTAAAAATCATCTAATCGTTGACTTAAATTGTAGAGCCCTTTCTTTTAATTATTCATTCAATGAAAAATGGTGTGGTGAGGTCGACAACTGTATTCATTTAGTAATTATAATTTCAGGTTAACGAACTGTTAACGCAATACGGTAAGTTCTGTCAAGTTGTCAAGAAGATGGGTGGTATCAAGGGACTGTTCAAGGGAGGCGACTTCAACAAGAACGTAAATCCAAGTCAGATGGCCAAACTTAACCAACAGATGGCTAAGATGATCGACCCCAGAGTACTGCAGCAAATGGGTGAGAAAATACAGTAATTATTGATGAGCGTGTACACTGTCATATCAAAGCACTGGCGAACTTGTTACGTGCTCCTGTGATTATAACTGGATAATAAAAAACCCAATTAAGACAAATTAATAATCTCCCTATTTCAGGCGGTATGAATGGACTGCAGAGCATGATGAAGCAGTTCCAAGAGAATGGTGGTATGGGAATGGGAGGGGGTGGTGGTGGTGGTGGTGGTGGTGGTGGACCTAAGAGAAGGTGATCACATTTCATCACCAACTTTTTAATTTAACTTTAATTGTTTATTGGGGTGTAAAATAAGTTGATGGCACTTAATGACTTGGGAGAAAGCATTGCTCTTTATTTTGATAAGGGAAGTTTTCCAGAACCTTAAACTAGAAATTAATCCTCCGCCTACAGTTTTTGTGATAACTTTTAACTTAAGATTTGTTAAAACTGTACAAATTTGGAAACGTTTGGCAATTGTGTGCCCTGATAGGCGTGTCCTACTTAGATCTATCATTAGTTAATTATTTCGTTGTTGTTATCGTCAGTGTTGTATTAGAAATGAAACGCTGAGATTAACGGACTAAAATTGTTTACGTTAAATTATATCGAAACTGAAAATTCGTTTATCTTCGTGTTTCATTTTTATATCGCCGCTACTAGAAGTCGAACACTTTGAACTGTGCAATCCTCCAGACGAATATTATTAGTGCTGTATTAAAAAGTTTAAAAGTTTTATAAATCTGTAGAATTCACAATTTTAAATTTTGAATGACAACAACTTCTTCCGGAGAATAATAAATACGGGTATTATGTCTCGAAGAATTTTGTAATTGACGCAAAACGATGTTGCGGGGAACTGTAGTCGAAAATCTAGTCCTGTTAAACATCTGTGGTGTATTTGACCCAATCAAGCTAAGGTCATTCAGTGTTTTGATCTTCATTAAGTCAACAAAATTTAATTAACGAAATACAAACAGCCACAAAAACCTTCCGAGGAATGATAAATAATAAGATTTCCTTAAAGTTAATCAAAAATTTTAAATTTTCAAAACCCGTGTTAGTTATTTAATTCATAATAAATGTGTAATACAGCACTGATTGTCAAGTCTTTTGTGTTTAATTTTAGGCAGTAGTAGTAAGTTGTTAAAGTAGCTTGCAAAATAGTAATTTAAGGGGTTTTACTTAAGAAAATGATTTGATGATTTGATCCCGATATGATGCTCTGATTTATATATAGTGGGAAACCCAATCAACTTTGACCAGATAAGTGATAAGCGATAATAGATTGGTTGGTATCATAATTGCTATTAAGTATAATCACCGCTCTTACCCCGTATCTTAAAACCCTACAAGTTGACATTATTTGTGCGGTGGTGCGAGTTTTCGTTTTTAGATATGTTACTGTTGAGATATGTTTGAAATATTTGCAATGGTACAAAAAGAAATCGTGTACATTTGTTATTTGAAATTATTATCCGGCAGACACAAGCGTCCACCAAAATTACAGCCACCGCTAAAATTAAAAAATGCCAGTGACCCCCGCCTAATAATGCCAATCACTGATAACAACGCCGGCCGTCCGTACGTTAGTACAAACAATTCACAGAGCCTGGGAATGAAGCCAACGTTCGACATGAGTTCACATCAAAAGCCATATTATAGCTGTCGAGTGATAATGACCAATAATAAGACAGTATTATAAATATAGCACAATTGGACAAGTCTGCACTTTTACTGTGACGTATATAATATGTGTCACATGTGGGACTTCGGGGCATGTTCCACTTGCTGGCACGCATGTTAAGATTTCTCCTGTACCTTTGGTCCTTTCTTGTTGTACTTCAGCTACCGGGCCGCTTTACCTTTACTTTAGGTCATTTCTTGTTGTATTTCAGTTACCGTGCCGTTGTTAATATTGTCTTGCTCAAATCTGGCCTGGTCTGAAAAATAGCGAATATTCCAAACCTTCGTCAGATTACCGCAATGTTTTAGCTCACAGGTCGCTATCACCATTTAAAGTGATACCAAATTAAGTTTTAACGTTTTATATTATCGTACTATGTACGGGGTAACACAGCATGCATCACGAGGTCGGTTATATCTGTGGCTGTGTCTCATCAACTATTTAAACTATTTTAAACTGACCATGTTATTTAGGATGCTAGGCAGAGACATACAGTCTAAAACAAATTCAACCTGTGGCTTTATAAATCTTACATAACCAAGCTATTATGTCTCTGACTGAGTATGTATGTCCGATTATATTGATTACGTTTTCGGGTTAATTATAACCACTGTATGGCAACTTCAGGTCTCGCAACAAAACCTACAAGATCACAGTATCAATAGATGATCTAACATACTACTCCATACTTATGAGATACCCTCCTCTAGTACCAGTGAAATATGGCAAATCCTTATCAAGCCCCTACTTATCTCTATCGGTATTTAAATATATAGTGCTAGTTACCGATATGTGAATGTGAAGAATTGTGGGAGTCGTGGTCTTATCTGGGTTAGACGCTGTCAACAACTCGTACATGCCATTTGTGGGAATCTGAGATGTGCGGTTTTGTTTCACTTTCTCAGAGCGTCAACCCTTTTTTGTGTGTGTATCCTAGTTTCTCTGTCCCAATCTGGGAATCTGAAATGTGTTGTTTTGTTTCACATTTCACAGAGCGTCAACCCTTGTTTGTGCGTGTAGACCTACTTAGTACTTTCACTGTACCAATATTTTTGGTTTGAGTCTCAGATGTGTGTTATTAATGGCATTAATAATAACACAGATCTGAGACTCAAACATTAATAATGCTGGCATTTGATTTAATTCATTCTGTGTGATGTGTCCAATAATAACTTGTCCTTCTATAATTTGTTAGTTATTCCAAGTTACTAAGTTGACCTGAAAATCATTATTTTAAAGTCAAAAGTCTATTTCTGCTCTTCTTCGTAGTATTGTCAATAAGTTAGATGTGCGCCGTGCGGCATGCTCCTGGTATTCCTCCTAATTTCTGAAAAACTGCGGATTGCGGATACATTCTTTAACTTTAACCCGCTCACACAGCGATTCCGTTTTGCACGTACAAAATTCAGAAGCCGCCATCAAACTTAACCTTAGAACTACCAACACATTTTTACAGAATCAAGTTTAGACAAAAGGATAGAAAGGTATTTAAAATGTAAATCCTTGCAAGACTTTTGTAACACCATGTACGTATACTTCTTATCAATATCAGGTCTACTCAAACTATTTATAAGTTTCGTTTTTCGCTGGGGACGAAATGAGAGTCTCCCCTCACTGTAAAACAAAATACATCAAGTATTGTCGACATTTCGGTTGCAATTGCATGCCTTCGTCATAGACGAAACATTGAGATGACTCTTTACATAGTTGCAACACATAATTGTTAAATTATCTCTTCTCAAAATTCCCTACTCTATACTCAAAATTCCCTACTCTATACTCAAAATTCCCACCGGAAAGTTTCAATCATTATCAATAGCCTACAACTAAAATACTGTCATTTGTCATGTTGTTTGCCACTGTCACTGCCTGCGTTCCAGCTGTATTAAGAAGCGTCTGTAATTAGGAATGCAGTATGTTTACAACGCTATAATAGAATCTTTACCAGTTGCTAATATTGTAACACCTAATAATTATATATAATTCCAAAAGTAATTTTTCTTATTAGGACGGAAACGGATGTTTGATATTTCGAGAAAACATTTACATATGGTATTTATTTCTAGCCGTATTTTTCGGTAGACTTTGATTTTGTAATAATTTTTGTCGCATCGCATTTTTTATCGTATTGGCATTGCTGAAGATTGATAGTAATAGGGTTTTGTTATTTCTGTCATAATGATAGTGAGCATATTTCTATTCAGTCACATAGTAATTTGTATTTGGTAATACCAAGACGTATGAGAGGTCCTTACTCATCAAAATGTTGCCAAATATATTGATTACCTTATATCATATATTTTCTGACAAGTCATATTTGGACTAATCTGATCGTTGGTATCGAGAGCTTCAGATAAAAATGATTACTTTTTTAACTGTCTGGGAACTGATTGGGCACATCATACCAGGGCTGATAAGTCACATGATATACTGTGTTATGCAAAGTAATGATCACTTTAACCGTACTGTCAAGTTAACTCTTACTTTAACATTCACCACGTCACCATGTCATGACAGTAATTTACATAAGTTTCGATAGAATTAATGGGCGCAGCAACTTAGCATAGTTCTTATATCATACTATGGATGTTTTTACGCAGTATTACTTAAGCTATGCAGTATTATCCCTTTTTGCATTCCTTACATTCCGTACTGTGACCAGTAGATCCCAATTTACCAAGCTCATCTTAAAAGTGTCGTCTAAAAAGTCAGTAACAAAAGTGTGTCATATTCACAACGGTGTGTTGAAGGTGAGAGATCATCTACTACTAGTGCATACAAAATTTCAAGTGCATACAAAATTTTAAGACATCAAGATACGTTTGTAAGTTTCATGCGATAGAATAACATACTTAAAACAAAATTTTCCGGGAAAAAACGGATTTTCCGTTAATATTGAATAGATTGTGATACTGATACTTGATAGTTGTAAATTAAAAATAAAGCTGAATTACACTGTTGTAATTGCACTATATTGCGTCAACAACAGTGTTGTTGACGCAATTCAGCTTTAATTTATAACTACACTAGTCATTTGGAATTAGAAAAATAGCGTGTAGTGAAATCTATCTAACCGCGTGAAATATGCCACGATTAACATTGTTTATTCATATATATATATGAACCTGTCGATTATGGTATAAATACCATAATCGACAGGTTATAATTCATTTTTCAACTTAAAGGTAAGTTTTAACACGCGGTTTAGGGCAAAACGGTGATCTGAACTATCAACGACAATAATATCGCGATGGCACTGCAGCTGGTCTCTGGGGCTGGTCCGATCCTGACTGTAGAAGTAAAAAATACATACTTGATCTTTCTTGAAGTTGAAGAGTGCCATCGAAAATTGTGATTTTTACAATTTTGGATCTTTCGTACGTTTACAGAGTGCACTAGAAAATCACGATATCATATCATGTATCATCAATAGTGCACTAGCAATAGCATCTTGCGATACACGTATTGACTTATTGATATTTTGTGTATAATTAGAGAGTGCACCTGTGTGTATATAGCTTTAAAGCTCCACATCACGACTGTATTTGGTCTACCAAGAAATTACCAACCAATATAAGATATCGTCAGTAAGCACTTAGCCCCCCGCGTACACCAACAATCAACATGGCCCTTTGTCAAGAACATCTTCCTGTTCACTGCATGTATACACGAACATCTCAACCTCTGTAATTATAAACGATCATTGTCGGACATCACGGCACATTGTTTTGTTTAACGTTTTATATCGAGGCACTTTGGGGGCTCTTTATATACTCACAGAGGAGGGGGGGACTCACAGACTGTCATTGTCTTGTCTTCCCTCTATCAGTATCAGTAGATGAGCTTTTATCTTGACATGTATAGTAACCGACATGGTCCTTTAGTGATGGACCTACTGTAGGTACTTTATACTGTAGGTACTTTCTACTGTAGGTACTTTATACTGTAGGTATACTTTATACTGCAGGTACTTTATACTGTAGGTACTTTATACTGTAGGTACTTTATACTGTAGGCACTTTATACTGTAGGCACTTTATACTGTAGGTACTTTATACTGTAGGCACTTTATACTGTAGGTACTTTATACTGTAGGCACTCTATACTGTAGGTACTTTATACTGTAGGTACTTTATACTGTAGGTACTTTATACTCAGGAAGGGGCGTGATGATGTTGTACGGGTACATTTTAATAGTCTGCGTAATCCGGATATAACATTTACACTTTACAGCAAAGTATTAATAATTATGATTTACACCAGCGTCCAGCTTATATAATTTCATGCAAATGTAAGTTAACTTGATTTCGGAAACGATATTTTTAATCGAATCGGAAAATTTGCGAAGTGTGAAAATTGACTCAGAATAAGGTAAGAAGTAACAAAATCATACTTTACCTTCCATTTTAAAACTTTGACTAGTGTTTGCTATTATAATTATGCTATTATGATAACCAAACACTAGTACTATAACAGCTCTAGTGAGGATTGACCCTTGGTGGTTTACTAACTTTTTGACGTCTTTAATCAGATTAAAATTTGAGTTTTCGTTTTAGAATGTTTTGATTGAATAATTATGTTTGTAAGTTAGTTGATTATGAATACGCTTAGCATTTCTGCACTGCTCGCCTTCCCACATAACATGTAATACTGCAAAAATTGATGGCTCTTGCCCTGAAGATTAAAATAAGCAAATTGCCCTAATTTCGTATTATTGTAAAAGTTGTCTTAATTTGTAATGTACCGGTCATAACACCTTTTCCTTTACATTCAACTTTTCCAACATTGCAACAGAAAAAGTCATGTTTAACTTATCAATATCTAACTTGCACGAATCATATATCAATCTAACGACGGTATCAGGTATGTGACGAATTATTTCCTAGTATTGCTGTTAAACTTAATTATTGCACCAATAATTCCGTTAGTAATGAACGGTACGTGAGCTTACTTAGTCACTTTCACCTCGATTTATCCTGCCAGCAGTATTCCCGGATACTAGATCTTCCGTTTAATCTGTATGATAAAACAAGCACAATTCGATCCGTGCAAACGATATAAGAAGATTCCAATGACATAACTTTAATGTTTTAAGTTTTAACCCACACTAGCTCCTTTTTATAAGTTAAAAGTCCTGCTGAATAATCAATATTCAAATGTTTTTTTACACGACCCCCCGGCTCCTCAAGTTTGTGCAGCTCTCTAGCAGTTCCCGGTAATTAATTATTGTAATTGAGTGCAACTTTAAACACTACACTGCGAGTGTTTTAAGTTATTAAATCTTCTTTAATGAGACTTTTGGAATTTGTTCTTTCCATGAGGTTTTCTGAACACAGTCAGTGTTATGTTACATTTACAACGTTCGAACTTTCAATTGTTGCTGCTATCTTTTATTCTCTAATCTTTACATTATAATGTAAGTTGACAACTTATAGAAACGACGTTGTTCCTGGTAAACGATTTACCTTTTAATTAAACCACTTTACGCTTCAGTAATTACTGATTACATGAGTTGGTAACTTACATGAGAAACTTTCTAGAATTCCAGAGTTTTCTTTCCCAGCCTCTTTCAGTCAGGTGCTCCGTCAATATTTATTATTTGTAACGATTTCTTGGAACATTAAATTCAAATTGCCATCCCTCCAATACTTTTACCACATGATAAATGCCGCCTCCAGACAACAGACAAGCGAAACATTATTTTAATTCCTATTGTCATTGTTGCAGTTTTGTAAAGTTGTCGCCCGTATAATAGAAGCTTCCAGATTCGTAGATTTTGTGGTTTTAGGACATTGAGCATATTTATTATTTGTCAGCTTGCATATATTTTAACTTTTAAGGCGGGTTTCTGTGTTGTTAAAGGTTTTGCGGTCATTTTGACGGACGCTTATAAGTAATTAGTGGGTATGGAACCCTAATTATAGCCTAATTATAACCCACTATATACACATCCCCACCAGGTTTGAAACATGAAAATGTGACCAGTAATCAGAGGATAGTCTTTACAAACCAACGCTGCTCCATTGCACATGGTTCAACAGTGATCACCAAGCACTTTCTCACTTACTCTCCGACCCTCTTTTGGTTAAACAAGCACCTTCTCTCACTGGCAAGCAGCCCGTAGTCTCATCATGCCACACCGAAGAAGATCCGAAATAATCAAAGGTAACACTATTTTAACATTGAAGTAATATTATTATTGAAGTAACATTATTACAAGTAGCACTTTATGTTTATAATATTTCTCTTGCATGTCATTACTAAACTTCGTGAGTCTGCAATATCATGTTAAGTCATTCCTAAAGATAAGCCAGCTACTAGCACAGCCAGCGCCTCCCACGGCAACTTTCATCTCGATCATTCTCCGAGCCTGTCAGACTGACAGATGTATATCTGGGTTCCGGTCCGGATCATGGCTCGGGAACTATCCACGTTGAGGTGATACATCTGCACATCATGTAAATATTCTTAGTCTCCACATTTCATGAAGATCCTGGAAAATAGACTATACGTTTTCTAAGTATTCAAAGTGTAAAGCTATATATATTATATAATGTACGGATCTCACGAGTGACAACCACCACACTTCCAACCAAACCGTACACCAAACTGTGGAGAGGACGTACATTAACAATGAAGCATTTCATCACTCTCCCACCCTCACTAACACTCATCCCAGAACACCACCACAAACAACCTCCCTTGCTCTGACATGTTCAAATTTACACCTTATGTTCGAGAAATACAGCCCAGCACCAAGTAGGTGTTGCTTCCTTTTATGCAGGTCCGTCAATCAACGTAACGAGCTCGTGTTTATGTCAGAGTTGCGACCTAAAAACACGTGCTCAACTAACTAGTCTCGCGGCGTCGTGAGGTCACTTTCAGTTGTCGTCTCTCTCCAGTCTTGTTACTTTTATACGAATATCAGAGTGCAGTGCAGTTATTATTCTGTGATTTTTGTTTCTGAGCTATTATAAAGGTTGCGACTTGCGAGGTGTCTTGTTGTGAGAGTTAACGTTTTCTATTTTACTGATCTACCATCCACGTTAAGGTTGAGGCCGGCGCATATCTTGTATTCTATATACGTTATCAGAACCCCTTGACAGTACTCCGTTGTATTTATTGTTACGTTTTGACACAGTCCATAGCACGAGAGCCATGCCTTTTATGAGACCTAAAGATGACGCTGTCTTCATCTCGCTCAACGATGGATACGACCCATTTGATGAGAAGGCCGGTTTCAACCGGGAACAAATTGAGCTGATTAGAGAGGATGACGAGTTACCTACCCGTGAGATGTGGTTAAGGAATAAAGAAAAGGATAAGCTGAAGATGGAGAGGGAGCGGAGACTACTGAGGGATCAACGTAAGTGAGATCAGAGAATTGTACTAGCCTGAAACCCCTACAAACTATGTCATATAGTTATACTTGTATGTCGTATGGGTGTATTCAGATGATGCTCAATTTCGTGTATAACATTACTATTATAACACTGTATAACATACAGTATAAGCATTGAATGCCTTGTCATAGTGCCAGGGGAAGTGTAGTATATGCTCGATAGGTCAATGCGCTATTCAAAAATGTTGAAATATTTCATAAGGTATTTTATAGTTATGCTAGTCGGTCGAAACAGTGTACTTGTGTTTCATAGTTTTGGATAATGTCTTTCTTTACTATCCTATTCCTGTCAATTCAGCGTACTATTTTTACGTCATTCGGTATTTCATCTTCGGTATTTCATCTTCCCACCCTTCCCACCCTTCCCCCACTCGCTTATGACATAATCCTCGATATAATCAATCTTAACCTACCTACATCTGGCACCTCTTACTCTTTATACTCCTTACAATGCTTCTACGATATCCTAATTCAGTTCTAGTTCAAGTTACCCACCAGAAACTCTTTAATATGGACGGCCCAACACGACCAACCACGTCTTCACATACAACATAAATTCAGACATTTCACTATTTCAGATATTTCACTATTTTCGACATTTCACTCATACCCCACAAGGTATTTGGGAGTGGCACAGCTTTTGACGTCTCCTATTTGAAATGGACAAGCGATACAAACAAATAACTGTGGTTAGAACGATTAAATATGTAATACGGACGACGTTTTCAAGGCTCTTGGCTGCTTTACAAATACCTTCAATACCTCTATTATTATTATGTTAGATCGGTTAGACTTAATGAGCAATGAGTAATGAGTAATGAAATCGCGTCAATAATATTATTCGACCGTACCATGAATACCAAATTTAAGTTAAAAGTATCATTTCAGTTGTAACAAACAATCTCAGTAAACTTCGAAACCCCAACAAGTGCCGAAACGTCGGCTGTAATGTATCTAATTACTCTAACCAACCTTATTTGTTCGTTTCACTTGTCCTTTCAAATGAGAGATGTCGAGAGGTTTGATTGTTGATCCTTCCAGACTTAATGTAACAAATGTTGAACTCGAGCATTTGGATCGAAATGAAATTTATTCTCTTATCCACGGAACTTAAAACATACTGTGACATGTATAACTTCAAGAAACATGATGGCAGAACCAGCTACACACAACCACGACACTTCACCCGTCACCACCATTAATACTCTCCCACAGTCTACCCACGCAACGACAGCGTTCCATAGCCCATCATACCAATACCGTGCGTGATTGAACAGTCCCTAAATATTACCTCGCCTGTCAGTCAAACACTACTCGCAACACTGTTATCCAGTACCTTTAATTAAACTGAGGGACAAGTTGTTAAACACTGCATCCAGCTACCTTCACTTGTCATACACTGCCAACTTCTAGCACTACAATATCAGAGTATTGCTGCCAACCAGCTTGGTATTATCTAAGTGTGATCTAAGTGTGATCATGAGAACGTTCACACTTATTTATCACACCCGTAACGTCTTAACTAGAGAGAGAAACTCCACCGCGGGAGTGAACAACGTGATGACTGATGATTTATCGCAATGTGTACAACGTTAAAATCAGGCCACCCCACTGGTCGGACGTTAGACGATTATTAAAATATTTTGTTTACAGGGTATATAGGTATATTTATAAGGCATCTCATCTGTACTTTATATATAACTAAAAACGTCTGCAGAGGCACTTGTTTTTAAAACAATATATTATTGTTGAGATATTATCAGTATCGTGTGTGTTATGATATTGTCATCTTACCATGACTCCAGTTTACACAGTGCATATTGCTTCAGAGGAGACAGAAGAGGTTTGTGTGCGGGTTTGTTTCTTTGTGCCACAGCTTCCTGATGCGGCTGTGTTCCGGAAATGGTTACCTAAACATCGTCACATTTTGTTTGGACATTTCGGATACTGGTGAGTGTTTTTTTTACGTGTTTAAATGTTGTTTTTATAATAATTTTGGGTTTTGAACAGCTTTTAAGATATTTTCTTTGATTAATTTAATATCATTAGCTGTTTCTCAATTACACTGTTTTATTTTGCTCCGAAATTTTGGCAGGTGGGAACAGTTCAACAAATACCGATAAACTGCGTTTTTTGCCCATAAATGGTCCTGAACATTTTTCATTCCACTTTTCGATTTAAATATTTGTGGAAGTGAATAGTATTTGACGTTGGCGGTAATAAAAAATAAGCCTGCTGACTGCAGAGTTATTTGGTAGGTAGACTCCAGCCCTAAGTTAAACAATTACGTAGTTGACAAGATTGGTGCACAATGTTGCATATTATTGCATATTATTGCACCAATCTTTAAAGGGCGTAGTGACTAGTCAAAACGCGCGTTGGCAAGGAGTTACGATGAAAGTTGCCATTGAGTAGTTTATAGCAGTGAAATGAGGGTCCTATTGGGGAAATAATTGGGGAAATTTGGCACACCTTATTTTTAAGCCCAAAGACCGACCGTTTTTTACCATGTACATTGCATTGTAAAACTACAAATCTACATTCTACATACATATCGAACTTACTTAATCTTTTATGATTTTGGCGAAACCTCAAGAAAAGAGATGATTTTGGAAGACCCAAAAAATCGGTTAAATAAAAACAAAATATCACAAAATATAGTCACTAAAGAGGATCGAATTTCGAAACTTTTAGAAATTAGAGCCCACAAAACCATTTTGACGCAATTTAAATTTTTTATCACAATCTACAAGTACAATCTAAATTTCTCATATCCCTCTATCCAGCTTTTTCTTGCTGTCTGAACACTAACTGCTCTAAACATAGAAACCGTTTTTAGTTTTATTCTGGGAAATCACGTAGTCTGATTCACAACTCGAGCTGTAAATTAGCTATCTCGCACGTGTTGAGTGTCACGACGTAACACAGTCAGTGTCAAATTATGTTAACCAAATATTGCCTAATATTGTCAGTCAGTGTTAGGTTATATCAGCCAAATATTGCCATTACTTAATTTCAACTCCACCCTCACTTATAAGGTTTAAGCTAATGGCTAAGAGTAAGCTCTTATCACTTAAATCATTTTCTTCACGTGAAACCTTGTGCTGGAAGATAAGCAGGATATAACAATAATGGATAAGCACGATGTTACGTAGATTAATATTTATCTTAAACTTATAAAGTTTAAATAAAGTTTAAACTTCATTTACACCCCGGATTCACTTATATGGAAGTTTAACTCAGCTTTTATATTTTAAATATAAAGTAAGAAGAATCAGTGCAGTGGGAAAATTCGATGTCTTCCTTAGAGTTATTATTTAAAAACAGCAATTATTCGCGATTATGTACATAAAATTCACTAAAAGGAAAATTATAAATATCTTTTAACACATGTTTAAGACATGGACCAATATTGGTTGAATTATCCTCATATTCTCACAAACGAGTCCTGGACAAATCTGATTTTAACAGGCTACGGCTACCTTCAACGTTGGGGGTCGTTCACATATTACGTAATCATTTTTTGGAACATTTTTACCCTCCCCCCCCCCCCCCCCCCTCCGTAATCAGTTTTACACATAGCTATTGTGTCAAAATTACACTAGTGTAATCATTTGGAAACTCCCCCCACCCCCCCCCCCCCCCCCTCAGCTGATTACGTAATAATAATATGTGAACGACCCCTTGTTATTTGTTCTAATTTTAATCCTTACATTTTTGACCTCCCCAATTTCAGGATCGTCGCCAGCTTAATAACAGCAGGAGCTGGAACCAGTTTAAAAACGAAATGCTCCCCAACAGAGCCCCTTGTCATGATAGCCTTCCTCATTCTCACCGCTATTATAGTCAGCTTAGGAAAGTTATTTGCCCCTGGAGGCTTCAAGAAGAACTTTGGTCCAACTATTGTCTCGTTTCTGATGATGTTTGCTACCGGACTAGCTTTACATCAGAAACCCCTTATCTGTGGGTAAGTTAAAGTTCAAGCTGAAACTATTAAAGGCCGGAATTCCACATTATTTAGCTTGCTTTCGTTTTCTATTTTTAGATTTATTTACTACTGACTTGATTGGTCCTGTCATCAAATTCTTCTATTATATAATATTATTACGGCCAGCATAATACTCAAACAAAATTCTAAATTACACCTCACAATTAGAAGCAATGTTAAAGGACATTATTTTCAGGTTTACGAGTAGCTCTAGGAGAATATCAATCCGCGAACAAGCCATGATGTGGGGAATAATGGTATCCTTACAGGTAATCAATTTATTTATTTATTAATTAATTAACGGTCTCCTTACAGATGCACTCAATTCATTTTTGCTTTTGAATCCTATATTCAATCAACGACGATTGTACCGAAAGCAAAGGTGAGTTTATGGCTTCTGCTAGTACAAAAAGATGTTTTTTCTTGATATCCTCGTTTATACGGTTCATTATAATCAACTTTTCTGATGCAAATGACTTTAATTCTAATGATAAACAACAGGTGGCAATCATGATCGGAACTATGCTGATGTATCTTCTCTGGCACCTGAAACACAAGGACGAGAAACGAGAGGCAGAACTGGCTGTAAGTATTTCTCTTCTTTCACTTTCACTTCAGTCACATTTAGGCCTTGGGGTCGTTCACATATTACGTTAAATCAGCCGAGGGGGGAGGGAGGTTTCGAAATGATTACGCTAGTGTAATTTTGACACAAAAGCTGTGTGTAAAACTGATTACGGAGAGGGGGGGTAAGAATTGTCCAAAAAGTGACCACGTAATATGTAAACTGTGAAGGACCCCATTGAAGAGAAAGTGAACCAGGAATCAGTATACACTATGTAGTATACACTATGTACACTATGTTATAGTATACACTATGTACACTATGTAGTATACACTATGTAGTGGTGGCTGTGGAGATTTGTTCCCAGCTCAATTGTATGTTAAATTTCCTGAACAGATCATTAAATTCCACTAAAGTTCAATAATTTCCTATGTAAAATGCTAACAGTAGAACTCCCACAGGGTTCACCTCACCTGAGTCGAAGTGAGAAGAGTGAAATGAACCACGAACCAGAATACGAATCAGACGAGGACAGTCTACAAGCCTCGCCTGCCAGCGTCAGATGGACCGCCAGACCTGCTGACAGTGACAGTGACCACTCTGTGTGACATTTCAGTGACAGGACAAATCACGTGACGTTACAAGACCAGTCACCTTGCATCACAGGAGATTATTTGTAGTCTTAGGAGTTATGGGATCACACTTCACAGTACATTTCATTAGGCTTTGTGAGACTGAGTGAAAAACTGCTTTGAGTGGAATTCCATGCCCCAATTTTGAGTGTCAATTAACTGCGATAAGTTATATTGAATCGAAGTGATGTGTCTGATGGTGGTCAATCATTAGATTTTTATTGTGAATTGTAATAGGCAACGTTACAGTGACTAGAACAGCTTTGGATGTGCCTATTTTACTCTGATGTTTTCTGACCTATCTTGTGACTTTCAGTAATTTTTAGGCCACACACCACATTCAGCCATTTTTATGATTAAATTGTGTTAATATTTGTATTGAAAATCGTTGAATTTTATTATTTGTACCGTTATTAAACAATGAAAACAAGCTTATCACTGATTATGTTTTATGTTAAAATCATCAGAATTAAACAATTATACAGAAGAGTTGGCTTCAAAATAGCTTACTACTATACTATAAACTAAAATGTAAATTTCGGCCTTATTCGTCTACTTCACGGTGAATAAAATATCAATATTCAATAAATTTGACGACTATAATTTAATAAGTGATCATGTTTCTCTTATGAGAATATTCTATCTACCTTGACTTGATTTAGGCCATTTGAAACACCCTCCTCCCGTTACTGCAGATCCCTTACTGTCACCAACATATGTAAACCAACAAGTATCTATGTCGGCTAAATGTTGGTCACAGTTACTCGTACCCGAGGAACCCATCACCCAAGCATGGCTGTGAGGTGCCTGGGACAGATGATACATCTTATCTGTCAACAGCATTGCATTTACAAATTGAGACTTAAAAATGACTTTATCATTCCGGTATGAGTGTATCTAGATGTTCAATTAAATTGTTAACCATGGTCTAAACTATATAGTCGGTTTTGTTGGCCTCTAGCTATGCTCGGTTTCTTAGCAGAGAACATGTGTTTCGAAACGTGAGCAAAACTTGACGATTGATGGTCGTTACCTGATTGGTTACTGTCACCAACTTGGAGCCAGTGGTCAAATGTTAGCAAAAAGTTTGTTAAAGTTTCGTCATCACCGTGAAAATTCCAAATTACTAAATAAACTTGAAAATCTGAATTCAGCACTTAAAAATGTTAGCTATCATTTAAAATTAAATGTAAAATGGCCTTTAAATGTTTAAAGTGGTTACTAAAAATGGGTATATAAAATTAAAAACCATTATCAAACAGTATTCAATTGATACAGATCGTCGAATAAACATATTTTTACGACCAAACGAATGGTAAAAGGCAAAGAATAACGCACAAAAACCCAATTTTCCATACTCCTTTTCATTAACAACTGTCACACATAAAAGGATCATTCAATACTGATGAAAAATGTGGTATATGTAAACTGAGGAAATAACACTGAGTATTTGAAACATACTTACAGGAGCACTTACAAGAGAACAGAAAGCTCACCAAACTATAAGCTTATTGTATACCATCATTTAAAAGTCTCTGATTTGACAGATAATTTACAGAATAAATTAATTAAAGTTTGTTCTGAGGATCACTAAAACCGGCTCCCCCTCTGCCGATAGTACTGGTCCTCGTTTTTAGACCTATTGTATGGTTTTTGTCTCTGATCGTTGTGGGATCTGTCTTGTGACCTATCTTGTGATCTATCATGTGACCTATCTTGTGACCTATCATATGATCTGTCTGGGTGATGCTGCCGTCTGCGGTCACCGTATCCGCTGTTGTCATGTTGATGACGTTGGTTGTTGTTTCCATTGTAATTATCACGCGAGTTGTTGTGATAATTGTCGGTACGTGATGCGTTGTAGCCAGCAAATTGTTCGTCTTCATCGTACACTATTCTGTTGCCAACGTAGGAACTCTTTAGTTCATCTATCTCTTCAAATACACCTGAGAAGTTCAAATTGATTTAGGAGAAATGTCCGAAGAAAGAATTTACAAAACGAAAACAATAGAAGTGCTATAAAGCAAAAACTGTATTAATGAAAAGTAGAATTGTTTCATATAATCCTAAACAATAAAAGCCATAATATTTAAATTGGGAACTGACCATAAATTTCACTTGCTCATAAGAAATAATTATATAATTATAATAATTACCTCCGTATTTATCAGGGTTTTCGACGACCAGCCTCTCCAACAACTTCTCATACAGTTCATGATACTTGTTCTGATCAAACCGCTGGGACCCCTTGTAACGAACTCTTATTGTCTTCTCAAACAGTTGGATCCCATTGAATAACCGTTCCGCATAGGGTCCTGCAAGGAATTCTTGTTATGTATTTACGGGAACAAATTTCGAACCTCACTACACCACGTAAAAAAAATGATACAATTTTCGGTATTTTCAACTTTGCTGACAAGTTTGACATTTCGAATGTCAAAGGTACGGGGCTGTCCAAACTTTTTAAAATTGTGAGTAAAAATGCGGATGGGATATTTAATACCGAGTCTGTACCTGATATGTACAGTGGTATGTAATATACCTTATATAATAATATAACCTTATATGCGATGTTAAAAACTGACGAAAGTCGCACGTATCAGTTAAAAGTTCACCTGATATTGGATGTTTAAAAGCGACGAAAGCGTAGGGACGTTGTTCTCCGGTATCTCTGTCAACTGGAAGTTTTACATCTAAGAGAGGTCCAGCCTGAAACAGGAAATACAGACTTGAGGGGGGGGGGGTTCTGACTGCTCATACTTTTTGGGGGGAGGAGCATACTATTTGGCACGGCTTTCAATGGGGTTACTGGGGATTTCACGTTTCGTATGATAAGGAATTTAACAAATCTCTAAGGATATTAATCGAAGGCTTTTGATTAACTCCTGGCATTATTTCTGTTTTTCAATTTCCAGGGAAAACAGTGCCATTTAGTGACACCAACCTGGACAAAAAGTTCCCAAAGAATCTCCGTAGTGACTTGACCATCTAGTCCACCGACCCAAACTGTTAGTTCCTCATCTGACGTTGCCATGACTACCGGCGGTAATTAATTAGATAATTGATATTTTATTATCATGTATTCAGAATTCCAATAAAATATTATTATTTAATTTTATACTTTTTGTACATGGATGATAAACAGAATTAATTGTATGACAAGTGAAAAGAACTTTGTTATTCAAAGAAAGTATGCGATGAATCAATCAAATATAGTATTAATTTTTTTTTCAAGTTATGGTGATTTTTAGAACTTGAAGATATTTTTGGTTATTTTCTGTATGTTGCCATGGTTTCAAAATATGTGATTAATAATAATATCGTATATGAAACATCTTACAGGTATGCTACCTGCAGTCACGTCGATATGGAGACGTAGAATGCGGTTGAAATAAGGCCGGAATGGAATTTTCATTTTCTACCACTAATTAGCAAACATCCAGAGTATGTTCAAACTTTGTTAAATAACCTGATTATACCCTAAATAAATTCAATTCCGACCACATTTAAAGATAATGAAGATAAAAAAGTCGATTAACCATTCAACTTTAATCTGATAAAATATGAACTAGCGTAGGTGTACCATCAAAATTAAGGGATGCAACGACATATCATCAATGGATTTTAGATTGTAAAGCAAATTTATCTATTTTTTGTTTAAATGGTTTTGTTAATCAATTACTTAGTCGCCCCTTAGTCGTTGCATCCATTATTTCGTTTAATAGTCAAAACTTGCTTCATATCCCAGAAGACCCAAAACGTAGACTGTCAAAACAAATAACCAATTTATGAATACTTTTACGATTTTTTTACCTCAAAATTTTTTGAAAAGCCTTATAAAATGTAGCAAATAGTAAATAAATAATTGATCAAGAAAACACTTAATTGGTTAAGTACGAATCACTCTGCTTTAATAATCTATAACATCGGACAGATCTAGTAGATTTTAGATAATATGGTTTTAAATTTAAGAAAAGTAAAAGTATGATTACCTTGAGTTGCATTTACAAGATAAATGTACTTAAACAGCTGTAAAATTGTTTTGCAAAACTTTTAAAAATCAAGTAGAATCATATACATGAATATATATATATATATGATTGAATACCTTAAACAAGACTTTTAAAACAATAGAAGTAAGCTTAAACATGACTTTTAAAACAATATCTAAGTTAGCTGTATGAGCCTTTAAATTAGCTTTTCATTTGAAGGTTTCACCGAAAAAGTTTATTTAAAGACTTAATTAAGTTAATTATAGGCCGCTGTCGAAACATTTCAGGACAGCCTGCAACCATTTTATGAGGAAAAAACAACAGTCTACTTTTACGGAAAACCATTAAATAACTGAACTCAGACATGAAAAGGTATATCGAGAAGACGACGACTTAGAATTTAAAAGTTTAAAAATATGGATAGTTTAGTTAGATGTAATGTTCAGTGTATACTGCTTAAAGTTATATAACAGACGAAACAAATATTAAAATAGTCTAAAAACTTTTTATCGTTAAATATGAACTTAACCCTCTACAATCAAATAGCCCCGAAGAAACTTTTAAACATCTTTCAAATAAATAAAAACCAAACAATAAATCTTAAATAGCACTAATACAACTTACAACTTAAAAATCCTGGGTACGCTTTAAAACAACTGATTCCAAATAGTAAGTATAATCGCGGATATAAATATGTCAAATATCGTCAAAATCTGAATACTATAAATAAAAACAGGCTTGTAAATCTTTAAATATAATACACCGTAAAAATAATATGATAACGTAGCAAGTATTCAAATGCAGCGCGAATAAATTATATAACATAACCATATTTAACTGAAGTTTATTAATAAAAGGAGAAGAATCATGTTTAAAATAAATATTAATATATCACCTCGTTGAACAGCCTTACATTACTTTTAAGCATACTCAAAAGAATTATAGTATCGTCAGCTTACTGTTTTGCTTTAAACTAAAACTCTGAGACTGGGTAAATAACTGTACTCGCTTTAAATAATCAATCAATCAATTCGTTTATTTATTTAATAATAAATAATTATACCCCCATTCTTACATTCATCAATATTCACTCCGACAATTCTCTCACGTTTCAAAATCGTCCTTAAATGGTTGCAGTTGTCACGGATCAGCTTACACCTATAATTCAACTCCCAAATCACATCGTCTCACATCACATCGTCTCAAATCACATCGTCATAAATCACATCGTCATCACTCCCAAATCACATCGTCATCATGGCTACCAGGCTTCAATCTAGTCGATCAGTGCTCTCCAACACCGTTATTGGTGGGCTGAGATGTCATCAGAGTATCACTAGAATACAGACTTCCGTTACCAGGAGAACCGTTACTCAGGCCGGGGAACAAGCTGACTTTGCTGTGGGACCCGTTGCTAAGGCCAGGTATCAGGCCTCCATTACTCATAATAATAGGAGGTATGTTGTGAGCTCGGCTCATGTGACTCTTCAGGTTGTACTTCAGACCGAACATCATACCACACACTATACACCGAAAGGGTTTTAACTTCAGGTGAACGTTATTGAAGTGCCGTTTAAGGTTCTGAGCACGTGACGACCCCCGGAACACTTTGCCGCACACGTGACATGACACGTGCTGTTCGTTCTCTTGTTTGAGATGATGGTGGTCCCCGAATAGTCCTTTCAATAACCCTGAAATAAATCCAGTGTTACAATTCGAAAATTGAGGCGGGGACTGGGAATGAGGGTCAAATTCTTAGGAATGGTATTTTTTCAGAGGTTTTCGATCAGTGGTTCAAGATTTTGTGGGTTTTTGCTAGCTCCTTTTTTGCTTTTATGGAATTGTAACACTGTATATATTTCGCAGAAAAAGCTTTCATGTAGTAAAAACATACTGTGAGATTATAATGAGTGAACAATAAAGATTAAAGTAGAAATAATAATGAAATATAGCTTGTATTTAATATAGCTATTAATAACAGCACTAAATACCTAACCATGGCAACATAAGAATGATAAATTTGTACGTGATTATATTTATTTGTTTATTTATAGTCGAGTTTATTTTTATCAGTTTTAAGGTTTAACAAAGTTACACTTTTCTTCTTGTCATAATCGTTGAACTACTTGTCTGTCTTGCAGACCACAATAAAACACACAGTAAAGTTAATACAAAGTTTGATAGCTTAGTTTAGTAGAATGTTAACAAATCAGCATCTAAAGTTTTCCGGGTTTAGTTGGGAAAGACATTGCCTAATTTTTAAGTTTAGATGATTCAAATGAATATAATAAGGTCATTGTTAGCTGTATTTTGTTGTATATATACCTTATAAATACATTCCATATAGATAACGAGTATAAGCATCAAGCAAAGTATAAAATATCAAATATTTCTTGCAGATTTAAGTTTATCAGAAGGTTTATAAATTAATGTTCTAGGAAAGCAATAAAATAACCTAATAATCTAGATCTAAGCAACGGAGCTAAAGGTTAAATGTTTATACAGAGGGAAATAAAAGCATAAATGTTTGATTGGATACACTAGCTTTAACTTATTTTGATTAACTTGTTAGGTAGCTAGAAACATCATTCTAGATTTATCAGGCAAGATATTGACTATTGAGTTTAATAATTTAGGGCTCTTTTAGTTGAAAAGCATATTAAAATGCTTACTTGAGTAGAGAAGATATTAATTATCCCTATTCTTGAATTTTGTATGCTAATGTATATCTAATGTTCGTTCAGTTCGCTTCAATTATTTCAACAGAAATAATGTAAAATAAATATCAATTACCACACAAATAATTTAACATTTCATCAGCTTATAAAGCAATTAAAATAACAACAGCAGTCTATTATTTGATGGTAATATTATCAACCTATAATCCCTAATCTCTCTCGCCGACTAATTATAATCTGTCTTCCCATCAGGATGCTTTAACGCAGCCAACAAACTCTCAGCCTCACTCAAACTACTTTCTGTTTTTCTAATGAGATCACTTTCATATGAACTCGACTCGGGTTCTGTATTCTCCATCTCATTTCGGTTTTCAGTGGTGTGCGTCAAAACATGGGCTTTCAGGTACGCCTTCAGTCCAAACGATCGACCGCAATATTTACAGTGATAAGGCTTCAATTTGAGGTGGACAAGGTTAATGTGACGCTGGAGATTTCGTTTATTTGAACCACGCAGGACTCGGCCACATATGGGGCATTGGGAGGATTCTGAAAAGGATTAATTGAGAAAAACACGTTTGGGCGGGCCCCCAAAACTACCGGTCCCGGGACGATTGGTTATATAATTGATGAGTCCAGGATAATTGTTGGTCGTCGTAGAGTCTCTTCCGCTCACGACATCTTTTCTGGGCCTCGCGATTGAGACGTCGCCGGCGTTCTTTCCTTTCCTCATCAGTCATGGAACAATCAATTATTGTTGGTATACCTGATAGGCACAGTTTTATTGCATGATACGGTTCAAGATGGTATGTACCGTCATGCAAACAACCATGCAAATTGGATGGTGTGTGGATAAAACATCATCAAGAGGAAACACCCTCTAAACACCCTCTAAATGTGTTCTCAATTGCTCTATTTATTCTCTAAATTGGTCTGGTTGTTAACAATTTAAGGCGTTTAAGGATCAGAATCCGGGCTCGGGTTCAGGAAATGTTTTTAAATTGCCGGTTGGGATAAACTGTTATTTTTGTGTTACAAATTATAATTTTGGTTTGGAGTGCTATCTCCAGAGGACTTTCATCCAAAGGAAGTTTCCGTCTCAGGGTGTTTCCTTCAGAATCTTATCTCACCCCACCCAAACTGGATGTGTGACGAGAACCAGTCATCACTCTCCACGTGACACAATGTGGCAATGCAGTGATGCTATGTACGAATTCAGCACACTTCAGCACATTACAAGTTTAGTTCGCGATCTGTTCAGTTACTTTAGAATGACCCAGGTTGACCGGACCCAGAATAAGTCATGGCTAAATGCACAGACTTATATCAAGCATGTGGGGACAACACAAAAGGCAAAAGCCGTTTTAAGATTAATGAACAGAGTTTCAGTGGGTGACGTCATTCAATTTGTAAAATCCGTTGAATGGAGATTAGGTCATAGGTGTCGACCAATAAATTGAAAATTTTGTTCGCGAGCGCGCGAAAAACATGCTCTCTACAAGAATTTCAGTACGCTTTGCTAGTTGTTGGGCGTCCTGACGTTTTGTCCCGGTTCACTAAACAAAGCGGTAAGATAGAAACCGGAAATTGGAGTGCGTTCTTTTGGACCTCTTACAGCTGCGGCCTAACAGGAACATATTAAAGAGTCAAAATTGTCGTTAATTCAGCAAAATGGGTATTAAGTTTACATGGATCTGTTAAAGGGAGAGCCAGTGCGCAGTGGATGTTTTGAGGTTAAGATTCACAACATATTTTACACGGACACGAAACGTATTTTATTAAAGCTATTTGATAAGTTTGTACAGCAATACATGTACATTATATTGACCATAAAAAGTAGCTTTTACTATGAAATAATAAGGGAAATCACAAGTATTATAATCATTGTTTAAAAAGTAATTGTTAAACTGAATTGAGGAGTAATCGAAGGAAGCCCACTGAAATTTAGCCTAGATTAAAACTGTGAAATTGGACCTTGATTTGAATTCCCTTTTTGATTAAAATCTGAGATATAAAATTCTAAAAATTAAAAATCAATTATCATCAATAAAAATACATAAACTTAACATAAAAACTAATATGGATTTCTAAACCCCAGAGTCGTATTTTCGTATGAATTTTGGACTACAATTAAAATTCAACTATGCCTAGATTTCTTACATTATCATAAATCATAAATCTTAGCTATTTAAAATCATAAACTATTTCTTAGTAAATAAACTTTGTAATTTTCTATTTTATCATCTAATCAATCCATCCAAATTGATTAATTCAACTCAGATTCGATCATAGCTTTTATTTCCCAGTCTTTTAAAATGGTCGATTGAAAACCGGCAACATCGTGATCGACCTTTTAATAAGAACAATCTTTACATGCACAATATGGCTATAATGAACGATAAGCTAAAATACAGTTCTGCACATTACTGTGCGTCTATTCTGACAAAACACGTTCAAGAAGGAAACCAAAATCTAGATAGCCACGTACTTGCCATCGATACTGAAATTCTCACGAAGTTACAGAAACTGTAAATAAAAAGAAACAAGTGAGTTTATCAGTTTATTGTTCGTCGTATGTAACTGAACAAACTCACTAAAACTGTATAAACAGTATGCTTTGAGAATTAAGAAGCTCGAACGCAAAGCGTTTCTAAGATCATTTAGTCTCTGTAAGATCACACAAAGTCGTTAAGACTCGAAAGCCAGGTCCGCACCCCTACGAAGTTTGTATCATTTGAAGTTGGGCCAAGACGTCACTGTGTCGAGTTGACATGTGATGTTTCAGTTGTTTCTTCTGACCGAATGCCGCCGCGCAGATAGGGCACGAGTAACGGCGCAGCCCCAAATGTATGACACTTATGTGCCGGTCAAGAGAAGACTTAAAACTGAAGTTCTTAAGACAGTGGACACAGTGGAAGGGGCGTCGCCTTCCCGAGGTTGGGGAACCTGAAATATATGTGAAACTGTTCCTCCGGAGTGAAATATTGCAAACATTTAGCGACAATCTGCTACGTACGTACACTCGCGGGGTGCATGTAAGTTGAACACATATTTCATGTACATTGACAGCTTACATTCATCAAAATACATATTTTCGGAATATATTCTATCCCACATGAAAATTGAAAGGAATGCAGGGCTGCTGTATTTCCACGCCTCACTACAGCACGTTTGTTAACTAATCCCACTAATATGCCAGTAGTATTAAGTGACGTTTTAAATGCCATGACCTCAACAGAAGACCTCACCAGCTATTGCAAAACATGACACACCGATCTCAGGTTCCTAATTTGTACGTAGATTACGTAACTCTAGCAGAGTTGTACACGGAAACAACTCTGCAGCTATAATCTAGGTACCGGTTATGGAAATGACTGGCCTTGTGACTTGCAGACATCACTTAAACACACGTCACGTGTTACACACAGCTCGTCAAACTGACAATATGAGACATATGGTAACATCTGGTAACTGTCGTTTTATTACATCATCATCAAAGTAAAGCCGCCGTGTTACTACACCCAGCAGTATTTGTTATGTAGTTCTCAGTATTTATAGCCCTGATTTATTCTCTAACGCGTGTGTAGTGGCGGGATAGTGGGGGGCAACCCTATTTGTGACGATTTTGGTCAGGTGAATCGTCAAAAATTGGGTCTCCCCCGGCCCCAATGTAGCATTGTATGTAGCACGTTATATGTGTAACGAACACGCACAAAGTGCGATAAGTAACATTTTATATTGAACACACATTGATAGAAGTCTGATGATGACACATAAATTTTAATTGTTTGCATTCACACGGAGTATTTGTTTCACATATAAATCAGATGAAACTAAACAAGCAAAAATAAATAAGTAATCGAGATTTAATATCTTAGACATGAAATGTTAAAATTAGATAATTTATTAAGCACTATTCAAATTGAGATAATATTTACTGTATAATAGTTAAAAGTTATTATTTATTAACACGAAGTTATAATTAATTTGTGAACACAGCTGTATCCCGTATGATATACTCTGTAGACTTCACTACGCCTCTTGAAGTGTTCTGACACGTGGCAGCAATTCTAACACCTGATCGGCTTCCTGCCAGCACGGTGACTCCTGATTGGTTAATCACACTCGCATTGGTTTAAGTGGCCGACAAGTTTCAGAACACTTTAGCTAAAGCTCGGCGACCACAGGTAAATCTAACCAGTTCCTCGAACAAATGATAAATACCAGAGAGGGAGATTCTAAAAATAGCTATTAAGTCATGGAAACTGTGTGACTGAAATGACGACCAGGAAAAGATAGTGTGGGTATAATACCGAACAATATACTGCAATACGGTGTATATAAAACAATCGTGATAAGTAATTTGTCTGTTATCAACAGACCGTACCGGGTACTAGTATTTTAGTAACAACTTACAACCGGCTACTAGTATTTTAGTAACAGCCAACCCTTGCGGATTATTAAGCTCTTTCCTTTCCGGTATAGCTGAGATTTCCTACGAATTACACTATTATTCTACAGTCTACGATACTCCGACTCGATCCTTAAGAAAACTTACTGATGATGGTTTAATATGTAAATTACCCAGAATACCTTGATCGGTAGTCAGAAAGTTCCAATATTTCCAAGTACTACCTGCATTACAAAGTACTAGTTACGACCACCCACTTATTCTAACGCTCTTCGACTATAAATCGTGTTAACAAGAGGGTTTAATCTCTGCTGGCGGGCACTACTAAACAGCTCATTCTCAGTGCTCTATCTAAGTATTTAAATCTGATGTGAGTGGTAAAATGATGGCATTATTGTTAGCTCTATCTCAGTATCTTGCTCTGATGTGAGTGGTAAAATGATGGCATTATTGTTAGCTCTATCTCAGTATCTTGCTCTGATGTGAGTGGTAAAATGATGGCATTATTGTTAGCTCTATCCCAGTATCTAAATCTAATGTAAATGGTAAAATGATGCCATCAAAGGGTTGGTTTAAATGACAAAGCTGTTCCAATTAGATGGACTACGTTAGTTGGACCTCCTAATCGTGATTTCATCCAATTGACTCACACTAAATGATTAGATTTATAAAGGAGCTGCAAAAAGTACCGCTGCTATCAATCACAGAGTGATCGTTTACCTTATCTTCTTTCCAGTTACTGTGAGCTCTCCGCCCGACGACGGTAAATCTGGAAATTACAACTAACGCTCTTAATACCACGCCGCTTATCTCTCTTAGTTCAATAAACCTGCCAACCATCCCGAGGCAGAGATGAACTAGTCATTTCGCAGAACTCTGTGCACGTTTTCACTGCCTATCTTTTAACAGGATTATTTATGAAGGAGCTGGTATATAAACCTAATTAACTGGAGGGTGCGAAGTTTCCAGATAACCACTCCGTCTATGAGCTCAACCAATCAAAATGGCGAATTTCAACCACGTGGTTTACCAGGACCAATCAGTGCCAACCACGGGACTATAGTAGTAATTCGTTTAGTAATTTTAAACATTTCTCTCTCTCTCTCTCTCTCACTCTCTCTCTCTCTAGAGTCACGGAGGGATGGGGAACGATAAAGTAACAGTTAAAATTAAACGTACCATATGTACAGTTGGAATGCTCTCTCTACAACTGGCGACATACTATCAGGGTTTGTGTGATAAATGGTGGAGGGTGGGTGGTCGAATGGTCTAACTTGGCAGTCTTGGTAATGACTAATAATATGCCTTTCTCTCCTAATGACTTTATCTCAACTCCAAGGGGCCCTGAAGTACAGTCCCACATATTATTCAGGTTATTGCAGGTGAGCGGTGTTATTATAATGCGCATACGTTATTATAATGTTGGTGGTGGTGGGGTTACAGTTATTATATATTATATTGTGTTGTTCTATATCGGGAGATTTTGGCTAAACGATTAGTCGAGAAAGGTTGATAAAACACGAGACAGTGATTTAGTGACAAAAATTAGAAAGAATGCGTAGCGTACCTTGAAATTTGATCCTTGCTAAAGTTCATAGTAATATAGTCTTATCGCTAAATAAATCAGTTGAACCAGTAAAAAACCACGGCGAAGTCACATGACCGCCATCTGGCCAACTAGGGAACTCGTAACAAGTCACGTGATTAATTTTGAACCAATGAATTGTCAGGAATTATATAGTCTTATCAGGATGGTGTTGCCGGGTTGAGGCTCCATTTAATTAGTATTTTAAATCAAGTGAGCAGGGGAGAGACAGAGAGAGAGAGAGAGAGAGAGAGAGAGACAGAGAGAGAGAGGTGTGGGGTAGAGTGAATGGAATGTGTCGTTGAACTTAGTCCGATCAAGTTTACCACATACAGTAATCGCAGAGCGTTTATAAAAGTAGGAATTTTAGCAGGTAGAATACAAATTCCTCAAATATTTGTCTTGGCGAAGGAAAGTGCCAGAGGGAGCCTTGTTGGCAGTAAAAGATAAGCAGTCTGGTTTATCCACAGATGTCATATAGGATTGGGAAAAACAAATATAGAAAGGTGGACTTTTGTTCGAAGTCTATGTTGGATTTATAACTGGATAGATCACAAAAATAGCGCGTTCACGTTTAGTCTATTTCACTACATAAGTTCAGGTCACATTTTTTCATAGAAGTGTTAAAGTTGGGATCCGTAGTAAAATACTAAAAATAGCAGATTACGTCATCTGGGTTGTACCCAGCGACAAGCAATAATGAAAATAATACTATGAATAACAATGTAAGGGAAAATTATTGATATCAAAACAAAGAGTTGAATTGTCTACTGTAAATTATCGATGATCGGGACTCTTAACAACAAATTGACAGGAAACTTGCCCGACCAAAAATTAATAAAATCAGTATTAAATTACTAATTATTAATGATTATTTGTTACGTGTAGAAGTAAGTATCAATAGTTTAAATAGTGAAATTTAATATGTAGTACGATTTAATATAACAATTCCTCAAATCAGTGGATTCCTCAACCATTCTTTAAAAGTAAACATTGAGTTTGGAGTTTAGTGATTAAAACAAAAAACATGTACATATATTGATTTTGATGGTATTAGTTTGATTAGTTATTGAAATAGATGATCATTGATTAATATAACAAAAGACACTGAAATTAAATTCTGAAATATCTAAATAGGATGAATAAAATCACAGAACATGTAACTTACTGTTGGGACTTGATCTGGCGGCCGACTTTAGCTTCATATTGTCCGGTCTGAAGAAGAAGAACCATCGTTAATATTGTGACCGTATGGTATTAACATATGTCAGGTTGAATAAATTCTTTCATTGAAATTTCCAATAATCTTGCAACCCACTATTTGTACCTATCTTAACATAATAACATACTCAATAGTCAATATCATAACATTTCCACGATACTTTTCAGTATTATGGAGTTCACCGCAGACTGGTACTCAGTGAGTTCAGCCCAGTCCGCTGTAACTCCCGCATTCTATCTAGTGTGAACCACAGCCTATACGAAGTGTTATCGCACTTCAATTACATGACACTACGGAATCTGTTATCTAGTGCTCCAGCAATACTAATATATAATGCAGGTATTTGCTAACACCATTACGTCACTTATTATAACGAGAGAGAGAGAGAGAGGAAAGAAAGTGGACAAAATATTTCAGGACATGACTACAGAGTTTAAGAATGAATAAGAATTTAAGTTTGAATCTACTTTTTACAAATTACATAGTACATCAAGACTCATCTCTAGGGTTCTGAAATATAAATAATAAGAGTTATACACTTACGAGGCTTGGTTAGGGTTTCTATCATTGTAAAGAACGCTCAGTATTGCGGCTTGATCGACTACACCCCCGTTTCCCTGAAGATGTAGCATAGACAGGGGATTTCCATTCTTCTTTTGAGCGCTTTTCAGACCCGGTGAGAGTGATGGCCCAGGTGACGCCACCCCTGAGGTGAGCTGACTAAGTGACACCCCTGTGGTCATAGTGGTGGGTGCTAGCGATGTTATCTGGGTGAGTGCTGTGCTGTTTGGCACTTGGTGTAATCCTGCGCCGGGAGGGGTGAAGCAGGGAGCTGCAGCTGAGGTTGCAGTGGTTTGGGGACTGGTGTTATTGAGAGAACTCATCAGCTGTTGTAAGCGGTCTGTTGTCTGCCTGGTGTCTGAATCACGGAATATCGCTAGAGAAGGCATGACCTCCATTTCTTCTTTAATTTTTACAACGTCCTCTGTTTTTGCCCTGTTTGCAATCGTTTCCTGGATCGTTTTTATCAAGTCAAGCTCTTTTCCAGATTGTGGTGTTAAATCGGAAGTATCCTTGAAGTTTTCCTGAAGCCGTTTTATGATAGCAAGGTTATTAAGATTACTGGGATCGAAGGCAGTTGGTGGAGGTGTTGGCCCTTTGTCAGATTCTGAGACCAAGGACTGGGAGACTGAATCTAACTCCTTCTGAAGAGCGGAGATAGTTTTATCAAATTCTAGAAAAGAAGAAGCAGCTTCAAGCTGGATAGGATCCACTTTGGGAACAGGAGAACTGAATGCAACAGGAACATTCTGTAAAATAGGTGACGACGAGGCTGACATGTTATTCAGTGAAGCGTTCAACGAACTGTGATGTGACTGGGAGGATGCTATCGTGTAGCCGTTATTTAGCGCCTGGACTGGTGTGGCACTGGACAGCGCAGTTTGGAATGCGCTGGTGGGTGGAGCGAAGCTTTTCAGCGCTGATCCCAGAGAGTTGACATTGAAGGCTGGTGACGGTGCGATTGAGTTGTTTGTTAGGGATTCTACGTCTAGGTTTGATGTTTCCTCTGATGTGTTTGATCTAGGGATAAAACGTAAGTTACAAATTGGAGTAAGGCAGAGTCAAATAATCATAGTAATGCATCGACCAATTTGACAAATAATATGAAATGCAAAACAAACTGTTTCACAAATTGCAGTTGGCCATCAGTTGAAGCTTGATACACAATAAAACCTTGGTTCAATACTGTTTCGCGATTTTTAAATTAACTATTGGCAAACAAATCACATTGTTTTTCAATCTCAAGTTGCACACTATGTAAATTATGGAGTTTAAGGCTAGTAAATTTTACTAACTTTCTATCCTAGTTACTTACGGTGTGATGTTCATTCGTTTGGGTGTTTCGATCTCCATATTCATTACACTATCTAGGTTGAAATCTGAAGATAATGAAATCATGAGGGAATAATGTATTAATTGGCTAAAGGTATTTCACAAGGAAATATGGACAGGAAACCCAAATTCCAAAGTCAAACCAATAGGGGGATGGAACGTTGTATCTTAAAAGCAAGAAATACCTAATGATAGACTATGGTAGTATACCTGATATGTAGTGATTTGAGACATTTTGATCAGTTTGTTCTGATCCAGCGGTTGAGACAGCCTCTAGAACAGGTGCTAAATGTTGCACTGAGATTATATGTTAAGTAAGCAAGATGCAATGTTCACTGTTATGTTTTTAAAATTTAATTTCCATCAAAACATAATCATTGTTTATACCAGTTTTCGCATTTTAAATCAGTTTCACTATTCATTTCTATAGAACAGAAAAAATTGCGTAATTTAAAAGTTAACAACTAAAATTCTAATAAGTTACCTATAGAAATAACTCTCACAGCTGTGTCGAGTAAAAACCTGACAAAATCATTGTCACTCTTTTGTTGAAAATGGAATTCGAGCTTCTGTTTGTGGTATTGGGATAAGACTTTAGGATCATCAGCTTTTATCATTAAGATGTCTACCATTCTACAAAATGAGGGTTAAGAGAATATGACTAACAATTTTCTGAATTAAACAAATTACAATTTTTTTTGCTTCGACCAAAGAAGAAGTTTATAACAATACTAGAAAGCCCGTTATCACAGGGAGGAAGGTAATAATATTCTTTGGTAGTCAGTTTTTATAGCATCAAAAAATATCCGTCACAACCGAGTATACAGCCCATTAAAATGTAGCTCGCACAGAACACAACGTAATTACCACAAAACCGATAAAGATGACGTTAAAACAATCATTGCATGTGCGCGTTTCAACACCATTACCATGGTTACTATGCAACTTCCTATTTCTCATCTGATTTGCACGTGGGCGGTCGTACAAAGATAATTCTTTGAATTATAACTATACTAGAAAACCCGTGGTCACAGGGAGGAAGCTAATAGTATTTTTTGTTAGTGAGTTTAAATCGCGTCAAAATATCCTACACAACCGAAGATACAGCCAATTAAAATGTTGCTTGCACTAAACACAACGTAATATCAACAAAACTGATAAAAATGCTGTTTTAACAATCTTTGCACGTGCACGTGCGTGTAACGAAACCGTTACCATGGTTACTTTGCAACCTTTTGCTATTTGCCGAATTTGCGCACGTGGGCGGTCATACATAGAGACAGAAATAATTCTTTGAATTATAATAGAGATATATACATTCAATTAAATCAAGTGATGCAATTGGCAGAGCACAATACACAGGTAACGGAATCTACTCCATAATAGGGACAGGGATGAGGTTGTAAGAGACTTCTGATAGAGGGGTCTCATGTTTCTTGTCCATTTTCTTGCCTCTGTAACCTCATAGAGCAATGAGCATTGTTCTTAACACTGCAAATCTTATTTGCGTCCTCACATGCCTTATCACAATATCTTTCTTTCCATTTCCAAACAAATTAAAATGAGACACAAGACCATTACAGAAATTGAGGCTAACACTTAATAATACAACAAGGAATGCACCATAATTCTTTAGCAAAGCAAAAAATATAGTGTTGCAGTGACACCATATATTTGAACTTATTAGACTAAATGCAGGTCTTGGAATGATTTGGACAAAATTCCATCTGGCAACAACCCCTAACTATAGTTCTGTAATTTCATTATATATATATATATATTATATATTGATTGAAATAAATTTTCGTGCACATACAGAATGAATGGTTAATAATTGCTCCCCATCGCATCTGGTCCGAGTCTGTTAGCACAGATCACCTGGGAGTGGTAACACCATAAAACCGTTAATTGCCTGTCAGTGCTATATCACTGGGGGGTCGGTTGCTGTGGCGGCGAGAGGATGCAATTGCTGGGTGATGCTCGGTGATGCTGTCTTGTGGCAGGGTCATCTGTGTGTCACCTACGGTTCACCATTTTGTCCAAGTCTTGGTTGCCCTGTGTAATCGAGCATTTGCTTGGTGATCTTGTCTCAAACATGATCACTTACGGTTCAATTTTGATTCCCTAAGGGCTTCAGAAGCTCTGCATGCTTTAATTTTACGTATCGAATCTAACCACCAGCATGCTGGTGTCCGGACGGAGGGCTTACATTTCGATGTCGGTGCTGCCTCTGGATCGGGTGCGAAGGTCCGGCAAACCATCCACCTTAAATCAAACCGCTACAGAAACGTCTACAGTGTCATTCAATAGTATTATACGTGGAGGCGCAGGTGGAGTGATGACGGCGACTAGGCAAAGCCGAAAGGACCCTAGTAGCTTGATGTCTGTTTGCAACTCCCGTAAGAGCCGACGTAAACACTGTAAATACAGAATTCCTTCATCAGATTTATCATTTGTAAACAGACAGTCAAGTATGTCTAATCCTGTAAATATAGTAAAGAATCCTCTCTGTATCAGTACATGGAATGTTACTTCTCTTGTCAGCAATTCCAGCAAAATGTATCAATTGGGAAAAGGGTTTGATGATTATGGACTAGAGCTCCTTGGGGTAACTGAAACACATATGGCTGGATCGGGAACTCAGACTTTGGGAAATGGGGCTGTTTTGGTGTATTCTGGCAGGAATAATGGGGTACGGAGAGAAGGAGTCGGTGTTGTACTGTCCAAAAAGATGAAGAATACTCTCATATCATACACCCCTGTATCAGGACGGGTTATGACTGCCCGTTTACATAGCAAACACATCAACATTAGTGTTACAGTGGTATATGCTCCAACTGAGGATGCAGAGATCAGTTTAAAAGACTCATTCTACAAGGAATTGAATGATGTTCAATCGGGACTACCTGCTCATGATATAAAAATAGTTTTAGGAGATTTTAATGCACGTGTTGGAAGGGACACTGATGCTCACCCTGGTGTTATAGGAAAACACTCATATCACACAGAATCCAATGATAACGGAAAACGGATGCTAGATTTCTGTACTATGCACCAGCTGACTATCGGAGGCACACTTTTTGAACACAAGGATATCTACAAGACAACATGGAGATCCCCAAATGGTAACACCGTCACTCAAATTGACCATATTTGTATTTCAACGAGATGGAGCCATTCATTGCTTGATGTCAGGAGCATGAGAGGAGCAGATATAAATACTACTCACTACCTGGTAAGAGGATATGTATCTATTAAGCTTAAGTGTCCACAGAAAAGAAAGAAGCGTGTAAGACAGCCTGCTTTAGAGAACTTGCGTGATAGATCTAAGAGCCAGGAATATAGTAACAAAATAGCTGAAAAATACTATACCAACGATCAGGAGCTTGGAAACTCTCCTTTAGAAGAACAATGGAAGAAATTGAGAGACATTATAACTGATATCTCGTTTGAAGTTCTGGGTGAAAGGGGCCGGAAAAAGAGAACAGAACATCTCTCAAAGGATACTAAGAATCTCCTAAAAGAACGAGGTGAGATTAAAAAGAAACCTAGTACTGCTGAGAATCGTGCTAAGTACTCGCAGATTAACGGTCTTGTTAGGCAGAACTGTAAAAGAGATGATAATGCCTGGGCTGTTAGAGTATCTGAGGAATTGGAAGAGGCTGCCAAGCAGGGTCAACAAAGAGATGTTTGGCAGAAAATAAAATCCCTTACAAACAAGAGAGTAAACAGATCTGCGACAGTGCGGGATAAGAATGGGACACTTATATCAGATCCCGAAGCTCAGTCACATCGCTGGGCCGAATATTTTGAAGAACTCTTAACGCCAGCAGCAGATGCGGTGGATTTCTCTCTATTGGATGAGGACGAAAAGGTACTTTCTTTTGAATATCTTAGTAATGATGATGAGCCACCGTCCTTGTTTGAAATTGAGGAAGCTATCAAGAAGTTGAAGAACTACAAAAGTGTTGGAATTGATGAAATTTCAAATGAGCAGTTAAAGTACGGTTCTCCTGGACTTCTGCCTTGGTTAAAAGATTTGTTTGAAACTTTATGGAAAAGTGAGGATATTCCTACTGATTGGAGGAAAGGAATCATCACCATCATCCCAAAGAAAGGGGACCTCACATATTGCAACAACAACAGAGGGATAACTCTACGCTCCACAGTATCGAAGTTATTTCAAATCGTGTTGTTAAAAAGACTAAGTAATGGGCTTGAAAAGTTACTTAGAGAAAATCAGTGTGGTTTCAGGAGAAACCGTTCTTGTATAGATCAGCTATACTCCCTTCATTGTATAATACACAATTGTATAGAATTCAACGTCCCTTTGTATATAAACTTTATTGATTTTAAAGCTGCTTTTGATTCAATCAATCGTGACTTTATTTGGAAAGCTTTTGAACATTATGGTCTTCCAACAAAATACATCAATGTTTTCAAAGCGTTCTTTAGAGCAACTGAAAGTGCAGTTCGTGTCAATGGGGAATTGACAAGATGGTTTGATGTCGATTCAGGGACTGGACAAGGTGATGTGCAAGGGCCCCCCATTTTCAACCTTGTACTTAACTGGGGATTAGAACTTGCCGAGAAGTTTAAAAATATATCGCGTGGTTTTACTCTTCAGTACAGACAAAGTTCCAGACAACCGGAAAAATGTGTCATTGATTTGGACTATGCTGATGACATAGCAGGCATGGATGACACTGTCGAGGGACTGCAAGAAACAACGGACAATATTGCGAAATACTGTGGGCTTGGGGGTTTAAAGATGAACGCAAAGAAAACAGAGATCATGGTAATTGGGAAAGATACATCGCAGCACCCACTCCCAGAGAATAGGACCATAGATATTACTGTCGATGGAAACTCTGCAAAGCAGGTCACTCAATTCACTTATTTGGGTGCCAAAATTACATCGGATGGCAAGATCGATAAGGAAATAAGTGTCAGGATTGGAAAAGCAACCGGAGCTTTTAACCAACTCAATAACATTTGGAAGAATAAGAACATAAGCATTAACAACAAAGTGCGAATCTACATCGCAGCTGTTCTTACCATTCTGACCTATGGAAGTGAGATATGGAACACGACTCAAGTGCAGACAAGAAGATTAGAGTCTTTCCATCAGTACTGCTTACGCAGAATCCTGAGAGTGAGGTGGTTCCATCGAGTAAGAAATGAAGATGTTTTAAGAAGGGCTTCAATAACTGCTCTTACTGACATAATAGCAACAAAACGGCTACGTTGGTTTGGACATGTCAGTAGAATGCCTGAAGATCGGTTACCTAACTATCTACTTGAATGGAAACCCAAGCATGGGAAACGATCAAGAGGCAGGCCTAGGAAGAGCTTAAATGATGTATTTATTGAAGATGATGAGCAGAGATTGGATCGTAATGGACTCACGATTGATTGTATGAGAAGATTGGCTGCAGATCGAAAAGGATGGAGAAATATTACCCGCCGAAGTTTTGTGGGCAAGTTGATAGAAAGAGTAGTCCTCAGGCGTCTAAATGAACATCTCGAAAACAACAACCTGAACATCCCACAGCAGTCTGGATACAAATCAAAACACAGCACCGAGACTCTGCTTGTGAGAGTTGTTAACTGTTATATATTCTAGTAATTTAT